AATGTACCATATAAATTGAGAGAGAGAGTAATAATAATAATAATAATAATAATGCCTCCAAGTCTAAAATAGTCAGCTTCTCCGCCATCATTCCAATTCACTAGCTACCAAACTTTCTTTGTCTGATCGATCACTTATTTTATTACTAAAACTAAAAAAATAAAAAAAATAAAAAAGATCTATTTAAAAATTAAAATTTTATTTCTTTTTAAGTCACACTTAAATAACAATATCTTTATTCATTGCATTTACATTATTTATACAGTCATATCTTTCTACATATGTATTGCCTTGGGTGATTTTGTAGCTCCATCTGAGTGGAGATGATGAGTTTTCCTCTTTTTTTTTAAAAATAATTTATAATGATTGATTGTTATACACTGAGGTCGTTTGGTAGAGTGTATTAAAAAATATAATGCATGCATTAGATATGTGTATTAGTAGTAACTTGTGTATTACTAATACCAAGGAATTTTAGGTATTAGTAATACATAGCATTTTAACACTTGCATTAAATTAAATAATTACAAAACTACCCTTGAAACCTTTTCATTTTCTTTGTTGTCATAAGTTTTTGTTTTTATTTTGATTTGCTTTTCGGTGTCTTTTAATTTTTTGGTGTCTTAATAGACTTTATGACCTCTTAAGTATCTTTTTTTTTTAAAAAATAAAATAAATTCAGTTTCAATATAATTTAATCAAAATTTTTACTATTGTGACGATAAATTTGATAAAAAAAAATATTTGTCAACTTTCCACAAAAATATTTTGACGCAATAGTATAACAATTTAATATTATTTTTATTTTTTTTAAAAGAAGAGGAGTTAATGATGTTTTAGCAAAGAATGTTTTTTTGATGTTTTAGCAAAGAACTTTGTTGCAAAAGAAGTGTACAAATAAATAAAGTGTGAAGGGTATATTTGTAAACATACATATTTTAATAGAAATTATGCAAGATTTGTTATTTCTAATACATCAAACCAAACAATGTATAAGAAATAATGCTTGCATAACTAATGCAAGTATTACTAATGCGCCATATTTTGCATTATTCTTATACACACGTTTGACTCCTAAATATTTGATATTTAAATCTTATTTAATTGTTACAAACCAAAATATGCATATTTTTTAGAGTAAATTTTAGATTTAGCAAACATAAAAATCATATTTGTATGCTATATCTATAATTTGTATAATTGCGCTCCTTAACAAACTTTATATTAGCTATGGCTATTAATCTGTATATTTTGGTATACATATACATAAAAATCTGTATTTGTATATTTCGGTATACAAACTAAAACATAGTAATTGTATATAAACAAAATTACTACATATATACAACACATATGTATACCGAATGGGTCTATTTGTATATTTTGGTATACAAATGGGTCCTGCAACTAATTTTTATACAACACATATGTATATCGAATGTGTCTATTTGTATATTTCGGTATACAAATGGGTTCTGCAATTAATTTTTATACAACACATATGTATATCGAATGAGTCTATTTGTATATTTCGGTATACAAATGGGATAACAAAAAACATGAAATGTTTGCTGCGAATTACAAATAAAAGAAACTATGGCTATAACATTTAATTTGAATTAATAATTTGCTATTTCATACAATTTTCCCTATTTTTTAATATTATAAAAATTACAAAATTATTTTAATCTCAAAGATATCCATACTTCATTAACTAAATCGTATATTAAAGTATCAAAATATCATTACAAAAATAATTTTTACTACTGTTATAAATAAAAGATTATTTAAACTAGGAGAGGTGAAATATAACATTAAAAAATCAATGTACCAACATTGAAGCAATTTCAAGAGTTTTATATAACACTAGCAAAAGCGAAATTTATGAAATTCTAAAATACTAACTATTTCAAATTAATATTTCATACATATCAAATAAAAATTTAAAATAAATATTATATTTAATTTAAAATTATTAAATCCGTCGAAAAAACCCATACATTATTCTCTAGCTCCGTCTTGCGCACTAGCAAGAGAAAAAGGACGAAATATTTCGTCCACAAGCCTGGGAGGGTTACTTGGACTTTAGTAAGGTTCAAATAACTAATGTTTATTCCATAAAATATGTTCCACTAATTTATATATTATATAATAAGATTAAAAAAAAAGGGGTTCGGTGCATTCACCATTATCCTCCATATACAAACAATATAAGTAATATAAAATTGGCTTACGATTAAATTATTAAGCGTGATCACACAGTTGGGTACAATTATGTAATAAATGATGTTGATGTTCTTTTTTTGTACACTTTCTATTCATCAACACTCTTTGCTATTTATGTCAATGACTACATTTTTTGTCATCATTTAAAAAAATAAATAGAATGAAGTGTTCGATTCAATTTAATGAAAATGATTATGTAGTAATTAAATAGAAGAAAATTACTTTTTTTTTTCAGATTTATAATGTATATATAAGTTGGGGTAGGGTAAGGTTTGCTTACTATATATCTTTTACTCAGACTTCACTTATGAGATTACATACTAAGGAGTAATTTGGTAGCTCATTAGAGCTACATATATTAATAATATAATGATTAGTTATGAGTGAATCTATGTATTATTTTATGTAGAGATTAGTTATTCTACCTTCTATCTTGCATAAAATAATACACAGATTCTCTCATAACTTATAAATGTATGAGTTATGGGGATTTTTAAATTCTAAACCAAACACCATATTAATTTTATACATGAATACCTTAGTTACTATCTATCTACCAAACGTCGTATAAGTTATACGGAAATTAATATATAAATAACTTATTTCTCATCCAGCTACCAAATGACCCCTAAAAATAAAAATCTCTCATAATAAAAAAAATTATTCTCTTTTTGAATTTTCATTTGTGGAACGCTATAATATAAAACTAAATAAAACAAATAAGGGTTTATACTCAAAACACCAAAAACAAAGGAAAATTTTGACAGATTATGGAAAGTAAAAAAATAAAAAAACGTAAATGACCAGAATTCTCAAAAGAAAATCCCTTGTAACCAAATCAATCTAAATTATAGGAGTACAATCTAGTACCGGTAAAACAATAGGCTAATAGCTAATAAATTGTTCGGTAACTAGCATTTATATTTTAGTTCTAGCTTTTTAAAATTTTTTCTTTGGGAAAAGGCATAGTTCCCTTCCGAACTTGTCCCGAAAAGTCAATTACACGTTTAAACTATCATGGTGACCTATTACACACCTTAACTACTCAAAAGTGAATTTATTATCACCCTGAGACATGTAACACCACTCTCACATTATGTGGTGTATTACACTCACTGTCACATCAGCACTACGTCAGCGACATCATAAATTATAATTTTTTCTTTTCTTTTCTTTATTAATTAACTTTTCTTTTGTTAACTATATTTTACTCTAACTAATCCTTAATTAACTATTTTAATTCTCTAATAATTATATCGTCTTCATCACTAATCCCACCCATTTTCAATTCTCATTTCAACGGAAAATCATATCCGGCCTCACATTCACTATTGATTTTGTTCTTCACCACCCCTATATCACCTTCAATTCTTCTTCTTCTTTGTCACCCAACACCAAATATCACCACCACCATTATCAATATCGATTTTTTTTCTTCTTCACCACCTTCAATTACCTCTTGTAATGTTTGTCACCCGCCACCCATCACCACCAAACCCATAAAGCTGCTATTACCACCAAACTCAAAAATTGATTAACAACCAAAATTTCTTTAACAAAGTAAAAAAAAAATAATGAAAAAGATAGAAACAATCAATCAAAAATTTTCTACATAAAATACAATTATTCACTAACAAATCTATGGAAATTAACCTAATTGCGAATAAACAAAAATTGTGCTTTAAGATTGTGATAAAAAATAAAGAAGTGTGATGAAAATAAAGAATGAAAAAGAAGAGGACAATGGGTGGGGTTTGAAGAAGAAGAGGTGTGGGGGGTGAGGTGGAAAAGAAGATTATAACTTTTTTTTATAAACTTTAATTTCAAACTGATGCGTCTATTTTTATTTATTTTTTATTTTTTACCACGTCAGTTTTAGGGGTAAGAAAATTCACTTTTGAATAGTATAAGTGTGTAATGAATCACTATGATAGTTTAAGCGTCTAACTGACTTTTCAAAATAAATTCAACCAAAAATTTATGCCTTATCCCATCATTCTTTTGTCCAAGTTTCATTCACATGTTTTTGTATGTATATATATGATCTTACTGTTGTCACATTTTTTTTTGCCATATCACATATAAGTGCTTTTTAATTTGACTTCAAAATAACATTTATATAAAATTAAAGTGATAGTATGCAAATGTGCAACAAAGATTTGTCATGTGGAGCAATATGACAAACCAAGTCATGTGGTACCGCTATCTCATTTTGTATAGACTTGCCAGAGATAATAAACCTACCTATTTAATTAGTTTTAATCTATCAATTCTTTCATATTTATGGCCAATTTAATTCATCAACTTGTACTAATACCTAGAAAATGACTTTTTATAGAGTACTAGCTTTTTGGTGTAATTACATCATATTATTAAATTGGCATTTTTTCTTTCAATTGTTCCTACCTATTCTATCATTAAATATTTATATAACAACTGATTTAATATAATTACATCGTTATTTTACTTTTCCTCTATTTTATTTTTAAAATATTTTATTATTCAAATTGTTAATATATACTATAATATAGTGATAAAAATGTTTTTTTTAATTTTAATTTATATAATATAATACATCATCAAACGAACTAAATAGGAAACTCTATTTTTTTCCTCACCTCTTTATTATTGCTAAATAAAATTCTTTTTCTTGAATGAGGACTCTCAGAAGCAGCCAAAAACAGATTCTTTTTCAACCCCTCCTTTTTACTCTCTCTCTCTCTATATTTCGTTACGGCTGTTTATGTTTCTGCTCTTTGCTACTACTACTTTTGTTTTTTGCTCTGTTTTTGACAACTATAAATGCCCCCTTTCCTTCATTGAACAACCTCCTTAGTCATTCAATTCACACATAAGGGTTATTAAGCTTTTTTTTGTTTGTTAAGAGACTCAACTGTGGAACAAAAATGTATGCTGAGACTGGGTTAATGTACCCTTACTTTCAGACGTACCCTTCTGAAATTCAACACTTTGAAGATTTCTATTGCTCACATGAACCAAATGCATCAATGGTAGCTACCTTGTTGCTTTGTTGTTTGTGGGGGTCTTTTTTTTTGTTTTTTATTGGCATTTTTCTGATTCATTAAAGCTTCATCGATTTTGAAGTTTGAAATGTGATATGATGTAGAGTTAGGGTTAATGGGTTTTTGTTAAAGTGGGGGTGTATAGTTAGGGTTGCTGATTTTAACTATTTTGAGGTGAAATCTTGGTCTTTAAGAGTGCAAATTTCTCATTTTTTTTTGCTTTGTGGGTTTTGTTTCCTTTCGAGTGATTTGTGAAATTTTGATTCCCCTTTCCAGTTTCTTCATCAGTATTTGAAGAAATGAAGGGAAAACCCAGTTTTTTTTTCCTGTTAATTTCTTCCATTTTTTGCTTGATTGTGTTAACTTAATAGGAGTAATCTTGTCTGCTATCACTATTGACTAAGAGAAGAAGAACAAGAAAAGTTTGATTCTTGCTTGTTTGTTTGTTTGTTTATTTGCTTGTATATAGAGTTTAAATGGATATCATGTGAGTTCATGAGATGTGCTAGATCTGTATATTGTTGAATAAAGAGAAAGAAATGAGTATATCAAAATCATGAGTTCCGTTCCGTGTTGATTATTCTCTCTTACCTTCATATAAAAACATAAGTGGCCACCACTTACTTCCCATGTAAATTCCCTTTTCTGATTCCTTCTTTCCTTTTTTGGCGGCCAAGTTGTCCTTAAGGCCTCACTTTTCAACCGCACTTAAAAGAGTTGAAAGATTGAAAAGTTGGAAAAGAAGGAAAAAAGAGAAAAGCAAAAGTTAAGTTTCACCTTTGTTGTTTAGAGGATAGGGAGTTTTGTTTGGTTTGGTTAGTGTGCTGGTTGATTCTCTGAGAGAGGATAACATTGCCCAAAAGTTACAGGTCTCTCCATACTATAAGAATTTCGCTAGTTTCTAACTAATGCCTTTGAGAGCATAAAGGTTAAAGATTTGTAACTTTCAGAACCTATTTGGTCTGAATAAACCACTTAGTTAGTTCTTTTCATATGGAAAACATCAAATTCATGGTTGATTCGGTCCGGTCTTATCTTGCTTGAAATGTACCAATGACAATGGCTGATTCTTTTATCATTAGTTGTTGGTTTTGTTCTTTTTCTGGTTTGTTTAACTTAATGGACATTATCGAGTTTCCACTATCTGTATGAATGTGCTCTATCTTTCTCAGTCTCTCCCCTTTTTCCTTCTAGGGGCATGTGTAAGCTGAATTCCTTGGAAAGTTGTTTGGTTCTTCTACACCACCTTTTATTAACTTTTTATATGTATAAGAGAGAATAAGCAAGGCTTATTGCTATCTATAGCTGTTCCTAAATTGATTATCTGTTCGTCACAAGAATCCTTGTGCCTTTTACTCGTACCAAAAAAAAGTCCTTGACAGAAATATCTGATGGTGAGCTGTGAGCAAATCACCCTGGTATCCTAAAATTGATGTTGTTATAGAAGTTCATGTGGTTTATATTTGTGCTTCTGCCATGACACAAATGTTTAAGTCCTTCTGATTTTCTATAAGTGATGGTGTATTTTATTAACTTATGTCGGGTTTGAGTGATCTTGACAGTCCTCATTGCATTTGAGTGAATGTTTTATCTTACTGTACTTTTTTATTGCTTAGTGTATTTAAGTCAAAGTCTGTGCCACATAGAGTTCAAGTATGGCATTTAAATTATGTGATGAGTTGACAGCTCTATGCCTTTGAACTTGGCTGTGCTAAATATACATGTCTGCCTCTAATTTTACTATGATAATTTTGAAGCATTTTTGTGTCATGTTCTTTACCTCTTTGATTATGAATTCTTACGTGCATAATCTCAACAGGGATCAACCATATCAGAGTATGACCTCGGGGGAGAAGGGGATCTCTTTAAAGCTCCACAACCATTTCTTGAACTACCATTGATGGGCCTTGATCCTATGACTGCTGCTATTTCTATGATATCTTGTTCGGAAGATGCCATCTCCCCCCAAGGACTCAAAGTTTTGGATCTAGAAACTTCATTTGAGAATGAACAACTCCTGAGTGAAGTTTTCTATGAATGCAAAAAAGATCTATTTGAAAAAGATGCAATTGATATACCGCTCTCTGAAGTCTTGGACATGAAAATTCCTATTGTGAAGGCTGATGGAAGCCTTACTGCAGATGAAAACTTGGTTTCTGAGGGATCCTTCCAGAAAAGTATTAGTTCAGGGTGTCTAAGCTCCATGGAGTGGATACATGGGGCTCCAATGAGGCCAAATTTTATAGATTTTGGTGGAATGGACTTTGGAGCTGTTTATGGTATGCGACGATCATTCAGTGAAGGAGACATAAAGGTTGATCTTTACTCTAAATATTTCATTATGATTTGTTTGTGTTCCACCTTTGTTCCTTTTAATGTGTTTTGGTAAATCTGAATTAGTACTCTTTGTTCTTTAAACAATGAAAGTCCTTTTCTTTCATTCTTTGTTAGCTTGATATAAATGTATTCTTGTTAATATCTAAAAGCAATCGGAGATGAACAGTCAAATTTGTCCATCAGGATAATATAGATTATGTTCCAGAGTCATTAATTGAATTTCGAGATTAAGAACAAGATAGTTGGAAGATCCATGTCTTAGTAACGTAAAACTGCCTCTAGTAAGGTTATACAAAGGGTATCAAATTAAATGAGATTCTTAGTAATCCTTTAAGTATGTGAACTGGTTAATCTTAGGCCTCTTAAGTCAAACTAGTGGACTGCATTATTTGTTGATGCTCCTACTGGTCTGGTTACAACCATTTTCTCCTTGATTCAGTTCATCTTCAAGTTCTAAGAAACAGGCTATATCACTTTTTTCTCCATCACTCTCGATGTATTGTTAACTGGAGATATGTAGAAAATTTAGGGATGGTGTCCTCCACTTACTTTATTGTAGTGAGAGTCTGAGAGCCATAGCTGTCAATAAGTTGCACCATTGATTCAGTGTTGGCTGCTAAGATGAGTAATGCATAGATGTTTTTAGCCTTTTCAACAGAATGGGGTTAGGTCACTGATACTGAGTTTTTACTGCAGACTCTGGGCAATGGCAACATAAATGTGATCCATTCTCCACGGGGTCAACCACAGATTTGTGGAACTTCCACTTCTGATGTTCGCAAGGAACAGCTCTCCAGATACCGGAATAAGAAGAACAAAAGGAATTTTGGCAGAAAAATTAAGGTATTAATCAACAATTTCTTCTCTGTAGTTTTAATAATTAGTCTGTCTGGTGCTGCATTTCCAAACTCTCGAAAGTGTGAAATTGACTTGAATCGGACCACTAGTTCATGAAACATTCCGTAAGCAGAGGAACCACCCCACTAGAGCTTCTATGCCTCTAGTGTGCAACACGAGTAATGCGTCTGTTATGTGTTTTGCAGTATGCTTGCAGGAAGGCATTGGCTGATAGTCAACCAAGGATCCGTGGAAGGTTTGCAAAAACTGAAGAACTGGATATATTGAAGAAGCATTAACAGTTAACTGTGGAAGAAATATGTAGTAAGGTAGTAATGGGGACTGCTGATATTAGCTTTTAGAATAGGATCTGCTCAAATAAGCTGGGGATCCATCCAACATGTTGCAAGTTTGTTAAATCTTTGGGTAGTGGCAATAATCTTTGTAGATTAGACAAACCAACTAGTCTTGTATATAGTGTTTGTTAAATAAAACTCAGTAACTTGTTATTATTAATATGCTTTCCATTAAACAACTACTCTTATTAATGTTGTAAAACTCAGCAACTCCTCCCCACCCCACAACACCAACAACAATATTTACACTCAAACTCCAAACTAGTTGGGGTGTATTATATGAATCATCACTATTTTATTTTTTGAAAAATTGGATCCAGTTTTAATTCCATATATAATATAGGTTTTTTAAATATATTTCCTCCCTGTATTTTGTATTTTTATATATATAAATCTTTTGACTCCATTTTCTCACCCAAAAAGGAAAACATTAAATTTGAAAAAATAAAAGTTTTTTGATCACCCGGCAAACTCATACTGATTGTTTGGAGAAAGGGGAAATTACTTGACAGAGCAACGACCCGAAATAGCGAGAGTTTTATAAAGTTACAATACATAGTGAGTTTGGATTTCAACTTTTTTCGCTTTGTATGTGTTAGCTTGGAGTTGTATCGATTTGCTTTGTATTAGTGTATCAATTTGCTCATCATGGAACTGTATCAATTCACTTTGTATCTGTTACGTATGATATAGAGTAGAGTGAATCGATACAAGAGCGAGATGATGCACTGTATCGTGAACTTTTTAAGATTAAACTATTGATATGTTTGGTAAATAGTGAAAACTATGGCTATGATTGATAACTAGGGCTCGAAGTGGAGAATCATTGATAAAGCCCATGGGCTACCAGTTGTTATGAGGTTGGACAAATTTGCAATATTTATAGAGACCTAAAACAACATCAACAGATTCCTATCTTTGTGACAGCCCACTTACTAAAATATAGGGAGATGAAGTCATCAGTCACATCTTTTGAACTACTAATATTTATATGATGATGAGTACCAAATTCAGCAACGACACCTTAATCCAACTTCCATGAAAATGAAGTCGATTTTGAACTTTATTCCTTCTTCTTCTAAATTACACGATATATATATATATTGATGTTGAATTCATTCAAGTTCGTGTCCACTTCTCCAAGGGAAATGGTTATTACATGGTGAAGAGTAAAGACCCGAAAAAAGAAGAGACAAAAATTGGCCTCAATACCCTTATTACTTATTGTGTAGCCTTTCCTAGAGTAAGATAGCCCGACTACCCACAACGGTTCAGGTGGTTCTTGAGTCAGCGAAGATCATGTCGACTCTTGTTGTGTTATACACCTAATTCCACCCCTTTCATATTATCATCAATTTCAGTCATGGTGTAATAAGCTGGTGGCACGCAAAGGACCAATCCAACGGATATCTTTAAGGGGTCCTTATATATATAATGGTTCTTCAAGATATATTCAGAGGTTTTTTTTTACCCCCTCCTAATAGGGCTGGAATGCAGCTTCCAACATTCTGCAACTACAAGTCATACTCCTTTTATGTGATGCCAAAATTTAAGAAGTCGAACGGATAAATTAAGATCCTTGTAAAAATTCAATTACTTTAAATTTTGACCCAAACAATACGCAGCCAAGATTCTCTCTCTTATCCCCTTTTGACTAATTCTTCCAATTTCTCTAACAACAAAACAAAACCAGTTTCATCTGCGAAGTCGTTCATTTTTTTTCAACTAACGAATCTTTTCCTTCTGACCCATCTTCCAACTTACACCACCCACCAAAATAAATAAACAAATACAATATATACTATATATAATCGTTCTTGCAGTATCTGAATTTATTGTTAAAAAAATAACACCAGGTTCAACCCATCCCCACCCCTAAACCAAAGAATTTGTACCAGAAAGACCGACCATTCAAACCTCTTTTTTCTTCTTCTTTCTGTAATATGTAACCCAAATCAAGTCAGATCTAGAAAAAAAGAAAAACTTTTTACAAGGAAACAAAAAGTAAAGGGAAGTCATCACAAAACCACCATGACCCCTCTCTCCAAATTGCCATCCTACCTATTTATAACTAAAATAATTAGGTAACAAAAATGAACAGTACAAATCGTCAATAAACAAACTCTCTCACAAACCAAAGAAGATGAAAAAACTAAAATTGCTTCAGTTGGATATGTTATGTCCCACCTCTACACTCTACACTTCCTTTTTTCGACTTTCACAAATATCATTTGCAACATCATCTTCAATGGCTAAAAAAGTACAAAAACTTCCAAAAGAAAAACTCATATGATTTGATATTCTTCGAAAAGAGTCAAAATAACCGCGGATACAAAGTTATGCTTCCATTCCTATTGGGATTTTTCGATATTTAGAGTCTCAAAATTCAAGAAATTAAGCCAATGATATACTGTCACTGTCCATTCTCTTCACCGAAAATTCCTACTTTCTTCAACACCCAATTCGATCAATCCACTAAATAAAAAGGCAAAAATCCATTAACAAATTATTTTTCTTGTACAATCATCGTGAATTTATTCATATTCACCACCCAATTCTTAATTCATTTTTTTTCACTTAACAAAATGAATTAACATCAACACTTGAGATTAGTCAATAATCAATCCATTCCCAAACTCCCGCTTCTTTTCATTTTTCATATACCCAAGAACGTAACAAACCTCTTCAATTGGATTCTTCCATTCTTCACCTCCAAAAAAAAATAAAAAATCACTTTCATTCTCTTATCGCTAGTCAAAATCGAAAAATCACAATACATATTATCAAATTGAACCATCTTTTTTTCTTGGAGAATCATATTTATGAATTCCAAGTTCCAAATTCTCAACCCATTTCAAAGTATAAAAAAACACAAACATAAAAGAATAAAATAAAATAGACAAAACATGAATTATCCATTTCACTTTTTTCTTCCAACTTCCTTGGAAAACACACTTGTAAACAAAAACAAAAACAACCACCTCTGCAACACCCAAAAAAAAAAAAACAACCACCATGTTACGTTAATTAAAAAGAAAAACCAACGTCAATTTAGCCATGTCTCAAACTATATTGCTTACCTTTACCCTCTATTACCAGTCATCCTTATTCCCTTTCCTCTCTAATTTGCAGTCCATCTATACATACACACAATCTATATCTATATTTCCACTAAAACAAAATAAAATGTCCCTAAATTAATTTCTCTCCCCCGTCAAATTCGACATTTTCACGCACATTTTATTTATTAGTAATATAAAATTGTTTCCTTCAATCTCTCTCTTCTCTCTCATAGACAGTTTTGGGAAAAACTTGGTGGAACAGAGATCCCTATTCTTTCAGCTAATCAGATCTTCTTCTCGATTTCAGTATATAAATTATCTTCTTCTCTGTTTTTTTTTTGCTTTCTTGGTGTTGTAATTGGGTTTTGCTTCGATTTTTCTCTTTCTCTGTTGTTGGGTTGAATCTTTTTTAGTATTTTCTCACTTGGGTGTGAACAATTTTTGTTGGGTTTGGGTTTTCTTCAGTCAAAATTAGGGTTTCGGAATTGAGGATTGATTGCTGAATTGGGACTTTAGGGGAAGTTGTTACTGGAGATGATTATAAAGAAGAGCTTGAAAACGGTAATGTCGAGTTTGAAACGGTGTCGTGTGAGTGATTCGGGAGCGGATGACGACGACTTTTCTGGGAATAATAATCGGAAGAAGAGGAAGAGTAGTAGTGGTTATTACCCTTTGCATCTGCTTGGTGAGGTTGCCGCTGGTATAATTCCGTTTAATGGTTACCGTATTCAAACAATTCTAGCCGCCGGAGGTGACGGTGGAGCTGCGGCGGCAGCGGCGGCATCGTGGTGCACGGAGGTTTCACGCTGCGCTGGTGAGGCTGAGATGAATTCTGTGCCGAAACAGAGGAGTAATCCAGTGAATGAGGCTTCACGGCCGCCATTAGTGAGGACTTCAAGGGGGCGTGTTCAGGTACTTCCGTCTAGATTTAATGACTCTGTTCTCGATAATTGGAAGAAAGAGAAGAGTAAAACTACTGTAAAAGAATCAACTTTGGACCCTGAATTTAATCCGTATAGAGAAAAGGGTAGCTTGAAAAACGCCAAACGTGAAATTGGAACTAAGAAGCGTGTGGATGACAGGGTAAATTACCAATGTCGTGTGTTTTCGCCCAATGGAACAGTAGAAATTGGGTATAATGGGTCAAAGCGTTTAGATAGTAGGAAGTATTCTACTTCTCGCAGTACATTAACATCATTACATGAGCGATTGAGAGATGCAGACACGCTTGATGGGGAGTTTGATGAAGCTATAGATTTAAGCGGTACTGATGCAATGGTGAAGCAGGGGGGAGGGAGGAGAGCTTATAGGCTTGGTCATGCAGGTTTTAATTCAGGTGACATAGTTTGGGCAATATCTGGAAGACATTGTCCTGCTTGGCCGGCAATTGTACTTGATTCAGAGACACAAGCTCCTCAACAAGTTCTAAATTATCGTGTTGCTGGAACAGTATGTGTCATGTTCTTTGGTTACTCTGGAAATGGAACGCAAAGGGTAAGACTTATCTTTTGTGCATTATACAGACTCCTACTATGCAAAAGCATCTAAGTGATAGAAGTATGAAGCATGGTGTATCTACTAAGATGACACATTTTCATGAGCAGGATTATGCATGGATTAGACGCGGGATGCTATTTCCATTTCAGGAACATGTAGACAGGTTTGTGACAGTTATGTATATTTTAATGCTGATATAAATTTTTGGTACTGTCTGGGTGTGGTGAAACTTTGCTTCGTTTAGGTTTCAGGGGCAGACTGACTTGAATGACAGCACACCTGCTGATCTTCGCTCTGCCATAGAAGAGGCGTTTCTTGCTGAAAATGGCGTTGTTGAGATGTTGATGGTTGAAATAAATGCAGCAGCTGGTAATCTAGATTATCTCCGGTCTCTTCCCCGAGGAGTATTTGAGGCCTGTGATTCAAATCAGGACCAAGAGTGTAACTCTCCAAGCCAGGCACGTTTCAAGGTGACTGAGGTTTCTTCCCTGCTTTTCCTAACATACTACCATCAAGGGACCTCTAATAAGTTTTGTTTAGTTAGCATTCCTATACTTCTCTGGGTGGAAAAATTCTGCTAAAATTTCATTGCAGTACTTCTCCTTACTTACATACCCTAAAGCCAAGAGAAAAAACAAATGTCTCAGACTATCTCCAGTAAGTTTACCATGTATGAAATCTCTGTGCAGGGACTGTTGAAGAAGAAAGAACTTGACTCTTGTGATGCTTGTGGATCAAGTCTTTCGTCTAAGCCATCCAGGAAATTGAACGACTCAACTCTTAGGAGCCATCGTCTGTGTACTGCTTGTGCGAGGGTCTGTTACAGCTTTCAATTCTAGCTTTCTTTGACTAAGTTTCATGAAAGATCTGGATGTTGATGTCATAAATATTAATAATCTGTGACTTATATTCCAGTTAAAGAAGAGTAAACATTATTGTGGCGTATGCAAGAAGATTCGGAATCCCTCAGATAGTGGAACTTGGGTGAGAAATTTGCTATCTTTTGCTGGTCATTTGTAACCACTATCTACTTCTTTCCATGAAATTAATTATGGTGATATTTCTTCATCAAAGCAGCTATAATTTCTTTTCTGGTTTAGGTACGTTGTGATGGTTGCAAAGTGTGGGTGCATGCTCAGTGTGACAAAATTTCAAGCAGAAATTTAAAGGTATCAATCTTACTTCAAAAAATTTCTCCCTTTGCAATATCCATGTTTTATTTACTTCTTTGGTTAACATAATCTGCTGTTTTGTATATCTCCAGGAGCTGAGTACCTCTGATTACTATTGTCCAGAATGCAGAGCAAGATTTAACTTTGAATTATCAGACTCAGAAAACATGAATTCTAAGGCTAAGTAAGTGTCAATTAATTATGCTTAAGTTAACAGCTTGTGGTTTGAACTAACGAATTACTGTTTCCTGGTTCAGAAACAACAAAAATGATACTCAGGCAGTAGCATTACCAGACAAGGTTTCTGTTATCTGCTCAGATGTGGAAGGCATTTATTTCCCAAGGCTTCACCTGTAAGTGTACATGGGCATTTGTTATGTGTACTGTTTTTTCTTATCACTTGTCAGTGATTGGCTCTGTCTGATGCTGTGCATAGCTTCCTTCAAGTTGTCTGACTGTTAAAGAATTTTACTACCTGATTTTTTCCTGTAATAGCTCTCATACTTCTGAATCTTACTCTATTTTTGTTGGTGTTTCCTTTAGAAACCTCAGATTTTATGAACAAGTGTAGGTTCGGACACTTGGATGTTATCTTTTGAAAATTAACTGATTAATTCTATCCTTCATTTGTCTTATTAAAATAATTTCTATCTATCCTTTGTGGAAAGGAAAACAGCAAACATGAATGGAAGTCACTGTTAGGAAAGTTGATTTATCAAGTTATTTACATGTGTTCTTTTTTAGTGGACTTATGTTCTCTTCAAGGCAATTTTGAGCATTAAGAGATCACGGATTGGCTTATCATTGACTCAGGCCATATAGTTTGTAATCATAATCTCCTTTTTTTTCCAGAGTTGTCTGTAAGTGTGGATATTGTGGAGCACAAAAACAGGCACTTAGTGAATGGGAGCGGCACACAGGTTCTAAAATAAAAAACTGGAAGACCAGTGTCAGGGTGAAGGGTTCTTTGCTACCTCTAGAACAATGGGTTTGTATTCTTCAATTGCTGATGCTGCTTATGTTTGAAATGGACTTCTCATTTTTATTGGGAACTATCATACAATTGACAATACGATTTACAGCTTTGCAAATTAGTTCACCAATAAGTTAAAGAGCAATGGGAGTGCCCAGTTGCTTCCTTTATGTGTGGCGTTATATCAGTGTGTGGTGGCTGCATTTATTTTCTATAAATGAATATGTTGAATGTCAATGTGGGCACATGACATGATTTGACTGTGTACGGCGATAAAGTTAAATTTTCTTCATTAGTGGCAGGAAGAGATATATCATGATGTCTTAAACTGATTATGTTATAAATTCAGTTCAGAAATGGGTAGTACATAATACTGTAACTAGTCAAACCAAATATGTACTGCTTACTTGTTTTTGCTTCTTAAGATACTTTATGCATGAGTCTGTTGTGAAGCTTATCCACATCAGTGTAGCTGAATAAATAATTTTCAAGGGAAAAAGAAACTAATCAAGTGTAATGCAATTTTGAAGTGCTAACGTGAAAGAAAAAGCATGATCCTAAGTTCCTAACAATCAAATAAAAAGCTTGATCCTTTTGTCACCCTCCTTTTACTCCTTCCCTGTTTTTCTTTTGTTGGGGATGGCATCACTTAGACAGCCTGATGACAACAGCAGGATATTCTTTTGAAATGAGAATATTTTGGGGAGGCAGACGGGTGTGGGGGTGGGGAGGTTTGACAAAGGGAAACAATGCTCTCATTATTACATGGCATGGGCTCATTGTCAGATTGTTTTACGTGAGGTCACAGTTCAGTTATACCACTTTTCTCCCCTCCGTTAGTCTATTCTAATTAATTGCATGCCTTACTGAAATTATATTTTAGGTGAACCACACACTACTTTACATATTCTTTAGCTCAAGTCTTATTGTTATGCTGTAGCCATAATATGGTCTTTGGATTTTCCATTAGCAATGAAGGAAGACAGGTAACATCTTGTTTTTCTCCACAGATGCTGCAAATGGCGGAGTATCATGCTCAGAATGTTGTTTCTACCAAATCAGTTAAACGTCCTTCTTTAAAAGTACGGAGACAAAAGCTGCTTAGCTTTCTCCAAGGTATATGCTTCGCTTGAATTTACTTGTTTTGTCAGAGACATTCCACATCTATGCATCATAGACACTAAAATGTGCATTGTTCCATCATAACAGACGATATGTGTTCAGACCAAGATACCTTGTTAACATATTATGTTTTAATCATCTTTCACTATTCGACTACTAATGTTGTCCTCAGAATGTCTCAGCAAATTCTCTTTCTTTTTCCTCGCACCCTTTTTATGGTCTTAATCATATCCTTGGAGAAGAACTTTCAGTTTTTTAAAGATGAATTTGGTTTTACAAAAAGAAGTGGAGAGGTAGATCTAACATCTATATCAAGAAGAAGACTCTGTAACTATACAAACTTTTAATATGATAATAACATTAAACAATAAATGTTCTTGCACATTAAATCAATTTAGGTTGTGTATGAACTTGAACTAGGGATCAGAAAATATAAATGTTACTTTATATATTTGAACCACCATCCATGTGTCTGTCTTATTGCATGTTGGTTGTCACTTGCATAGCTCTGGGCAACCACTATTTGGTCCAATTAAGTAACAATGCCATGAATTGACCTAAATATTTAGTCACTACCTAGTAACCTCTTCTTTTTCTCAAAATAATAATTTGCATGTTGGTTGTCACTGGCATATCTCTGGGCAACCACTATTTGGTCCAATTAAGTAACAATGCCATGAATTGACCTAAATATTTAGTCACTACCTAGTAACCTCTTCTTTTTCTCAAAATAATAATAGATGCTTAAATAATTGAATCCCCTATACCCATATTTGTATATCTATCTGGATCTGAATCCTAATAATCAAGTTTGACGTATATGACCTCTGTATCTGTACTTGTAGTAGTACACTTGACTAGTTCCATTGGACTTAACTACATGTTCTGCTTTATAACTAAGATTCTGATCAGTTGGCATTTTTTATTTTTTTATATATACAGAAAAATTTGAACCTGTTTATGCAAAGTGGACCACAGAAAGGTGTGCAGTATGTCGATGGGTTGAAGATTGGGACTACAACAAAATTATTATATGCATTAGGTATGACTAAACTTCAAAATCTAATCTGTCTGATGGGAGATTAGTGCAAATTTTCCATATGTTTCCAATTTCTGGAGACACTATTTGTTGTTATTTGATCTAAAAAACAACTTCTTGATACTATTCATTGGAAAAGATTTTGATTTGAAGTAGGAGTTTTATTATTATTTTTGATGAAGAGGTTTCATTATATTTTTTGGTGGGTTACTCAAGTAATTGCATAATTCCTTGTAGATTTCTTTGCAAATGTTGCTTAGCCTTAAAATGATAGTTCAATTTTTTTCTTAAAGAAAACAATGGTACTGAAATTCTATTTTCCATCAGGTGTCAAATTGCTGTTCATCAAGAATGCTATGGAGCAAGAAATGTTCGTGATTTCACTTCATGGGTCTGCAGATCTTGCGAGACTCCTGAGATTGAACGGGAGTGTTGTCTGTGTCCTGTGAAAGGCATGCCACTAGTTACTATCTTTTTCATTAATTGTAGTGTTGTTGGAATTTGGCCAAACTGTTCTCAAATCCATAACCTTTCACCTGCTATTACTAACCTAAGATTGTTGATTAATTTAGGAGGTGCTTTGAAGCCCACAGATATACAGCAATTGTGGGTTCATATTACTTGTGCTTGGTTCCAACCTGAAGTTTGTTTTGCTAGTGATGAGAAAATGGAGCCTGCAGTTGGAATTTTGAGAATCCCTTCAAATTCTTTTGTAAAGGTAAGTTTTTTGTTTTTGGAAATGTTATTCTACTTTGTGGTGTAAATTCGGGGGTCCTCACTTCACTGTTATCCCAGAAGGAAAATGGCTCTGAGTCATGCAGAAAATATTGTGTTATGACACAATAGCGTGTAAGTTGTAATATAGCCTTTTATCTTCTTAAGAAAAAGACATAATATGTTACATATCACATTTCCTATTATTTGCCTAGGAGATTTTTGTACGGGAAAGCTGATGGAAGCAAGAAAATTTGAAGATATCTCGATTTTTCCTCACCTAAATTTCAAATCTGAAATGGTTTAAGTGAAATGTAAAATGAGTTCATAACCATACATCATGAAACTTTTCTATAGCAATATTTGTGTATCATCCATGCTAAATCTAACATTATCTATGCTGATGATTTATGTGCCAAGTTTCTTTCACAAATTTAAAGGATATTATGTTCTATTTTAAATATTTGTGTTGCTGTTTTACTAATCGAGACCTCACAATGGACATTACGAAAACGAAAACATATGGTGGATGCTTGACAATTTGAATAACTCAGCCTGCCCTGTTAAAGGGAGCATTGCTTGTAGAGGCAAACATTGTAACAATATTTTATTAGAGTGGAAAGAGCTCCTCTGGGTGCTATCTTACTTAACACTAATGCACTGGATCCCCTCGTGAGAGTGGAAAGAGCTCCTCACCAAATCAGTCGATTGACATAGATTACAAATGTACAATTATAAGACTTTTACCTTGTCATGTGATCGTCTATAGTGTAATATGTTATCAGATTGGTGTTATTGCTCCAGTTAATATAGGTGTGATACATATCTGAGTCTCGAATCAAAATGGGAAAACATCATGTACTAGCAAGAAATCTGCTATTGAATCTGAAGTGAGCATTGATTTTGTAAATTTCAGATATGTGTGATCTGCAAACAAATTCATGGTTCCTGCACACAATGTTGCAAGTGCTCGACTTACTACCATGCCATGTGCGCATCAAGGGCTGGGTATCGCATGGAGGTGAGATTACTTATCTAGTAAATCTGTTTTGTCATTGATTTAGGTGCTAAATTTAAATTGACACGATGACTAGTTAATTTGTGTTGTTTAGTCAATGCATTCTACACTTTTAGCTTTATTTTTCCCTATCCTTTTACTTGGTCATTCGCTCCTAGATGTTAATACTTCTCAACCTGCAGCTACACTGCTCGGAGAAAAATGGGAAGCAGGTTACAAGAATGGTCTCATATTGTGCCTACCACAGGTACTGCTCGCTCCATTTTCTCTGGATCACAGATTAGAAAAGGAGAATGAGGGAAGCGAGAGTCATTTATGAGAACTGCTTCAGTCAAAATAATGGATGCTTTGATTATTCAAGCTGTGATATTTAATGTCTAATGACTTCGTGGTTTTACAGGGCTCCTAATCCAGATACTGTTCTCATCATTCAGACTCCCAAAGGGGTATTCTCTGCAAGAAGCCTTCTTCAAAACAATAAGCGCACAGGTTCACGTCTAATTTCAACAAGCAGACTGAAACTTGAGGAGGCTCCAGCAGCAGAGATAGAAGAGATTGAGCCATTCTCTGCAGCAAAATGTCGTGTTTATAATCGATTGCGTGATAAGGTACTACACCATGTCACTGATATGAAGTGTTATGATTGGTGCTTCCAAGTTTTATTAATTCAAATGTGAAGGAAATGAAAGATTTATGTTTTATTTAGCTACTTGAGTCTTTATGACACTAGGCAACTTAAAACATGTTGCCTTTTGGCTTTTGAACTGTTAAAACTCTGTATGAGTGAATTCATTATTAGCATCCGCTTGCGCTAGACATTGGATATATAAGAACTAACTTTATTGTGAATATCTATCTACAATTTGCTTGTTTTGTTGACGCTTAATAACTTCCCGATGTTTGTTCTATTTATAAGTCTAATAACAATAGTTGCTTTTAATCATGCTTTTTAGCTACCTTAAACTTTCTAGTTATGCTCCCTGGTAATGATAAAGTCATGCTTCTTTGTATCTTATGCATGTAGTTTTAAGTTTTTTAGTTGACATTCACATATCTGCCTTGTGATTGCAAATTTTTAATTTGCTGGTTTGTTTAATCATCCTAAAGGGATGCCAGTTATGAATCTCCTTATTTTTTCGCTTGTCAGGGAGCAGGAGAAACTGCCATTGCTCACCACGTGAGGGGACCCTGTCACCATTCTTCAAGTTCAATGCGGAGTTTGAGCATTATTAGAGTAAATTTCTTCCGCCTTCCCTCCCTCCTTCCTGACTTCCTATGTAAAGTGATGATCTCCTGTCACTTCTCTTAGCTGCCATGGTGATTTTGAATGTTATTCCTTTCTTCCCCTTTTAACAGGATGTCAGGGGATCCAAAACATTTTCTACTTTTAGGGAGCGGCTTCGTGAATTGCAGGCATTCTTTTTAACTACTCTGTTCATCAAGTTAAGAGTTTTCCAGTTAACTTTCTCAACATCTACATCTTATTTTTGCAATTGCAGAGAACAGAAAATGATCGGGTTTGCTTTGGTAGATCTGGGATACATAGATGGGGTTTGTTTGCTCGTAGAAATATCCCAGAAGGAGAGATGGTATATAAATCTTTTGTAGTTGTTACTAGTTACCCCTAGTCAATACTTTGATCATATTAGGAAAAGATGTAAATGGCAGTCCGTGTAATGGCATGAAAATGGAGTTCTATATCTTTTCATCATGAGGAGCTATTCTTGATAGTCTGTGATTTTTGTGTCATAACCTGTGAACATTTCCAATGAGATGTAGTTCCTCCTTGCCTGAGTATGCTACAGATCATCTTGTTGTGTCGAGAATCAGTTAATAACCGAAGTGCTCGTATTTCTAATTACTTAAGCATCAAATCTAGAAGTCACTTAGTGGAGCATATATTTACTTGTTTCAGGTTCTGGAGTATCGTGGTGAGCAGGTCAGACGCAGTGTTGCAGATTTGAGGGAGGCACGATATCGTGTTGAGGGAAAAGATTGCTATGTAGGTTCTTTTCACTCCTTTCTTTGTGCTCTCTCTCCAACCTGTATGTTTTCACAAGCACCAATTAATGTCGCCGAATTATCTTGTGCAGCTATTTAAGATTAGTGAAGAAGTTGTGGTTGATGCTACTGATAAGGGAAACATTGCACGTTTAATTAACCATTCAGTAAGTATCACTTATCTTTCATTGTACCCGACTCTTCTCTTCATATGTGGAATCAAACTAGAATTATATATTTGATGGTGCTTCTCCCTTCTATCATGCTCTGTAGATCTTGTTAATTCTTCTTCTTTTTTCTTGAGAAAGTGATCTTGTATTCCGTGTTCTTTTCGTGTGTTATCGACTTTTGTGCTGCTCCTTGTTATCAAAACCTGCAAATGAAAAAGCAAAGGCTAGTGAACTAAATTAGGTAAAAGAAAATAAAATACACAGGTGCAATTCGTCTTCTAAAACTGAAGGAGATCATTTTCAAACCCATTATGTGGTTACTTCTTTAATGGTATTAATCTCATTGATGGTTCAACAGGGAAAGAAATTGAGTATTGATCATAACCCCACAAGATTGTAGTAGGATTGTTTGTAATCTGAATCTAATCAGATATCAGTGAATATTTGTCTGATTGGATCTTAAATATACTCCTAATTTGATAAATATGTTTCAATACACAGCAAATATTTATGTATGTCCTATCATGGCAAAGACTCCTGAGAATGCTAGAAATTATGTTCCCCTTTCAAGCCATACTTTGTCCTATAATTTATCTGTGGTCAGCAAATTTAGCAAGTCAATGAATGCGGTATTTTCATTCTCAAGTTACCTTAATCAATGAGTCCTCTTACAGTCTTTTTGTGGGTTTGCTTTGTTATTTTCACAGTGCATGCCAAACTGCTATGCACGGATCATGAGTGTAGGAGCTGATGAGAGTCGGATTGTACTTATCGCAAAGGCAAATGTGGCTGCTGGTGATGAATTAACGTATTTCTCTCTCTCTCTCTCTCTCTCATACAAGCATGCAGCACTCACACAAATTAATGCCTACATTTAGTAAGTCCGCCCCTGATATATTTCATTTGGCTGCAATACTGACAGGTACGACTACTTATTTGATCCAGACGAATGTGAGGATTTCAAGGTTCCTTGCCTGTGTAAAGCCCCAAACTGCAGAAAGTTCATGAATTAGGTTTCACATTTCCATAAAAAAATTTACCTCCAGAAGATCTAACCATTACGCGCTCTGCTATGCTATACCTGACCTCACAGCTTGCTATAATTAGTGATTTTACAGAATTTATGTAATCTTTAGCGTTACGTTTCTTCTAGGGTATTTCTTTCCATAGATGATTTGGGGTCTCAATAATATTGGCAAAAGTTGGGTCTGAGTTTTTATGTATAGATTCAGACAAGGCAGATAGTTTTTTTTTTTTCTTCCTCCTTCTGCCGTTAAACACATATGTAAACCCCTTCTCTCTTTATTTTGTGGGAGAGTAACAAAAATGAAAAATCAAAAGAAAAGATTCAAGCAAATTCCTTCTCTTTTTTTTCTCTTCACTGTACTATCTTCAATCCTCATCCCCTCCCCTCGACTTCAAGTTTCTCCATAAAAAAAAAAACCCTAAACCCCTATCCTTTCCCCCTCCAAAAAAAAACAAGAAAAGTTGCGAGTTACCAGACCAACATTGACAACGTCGCTTAGTGGTCAATGAAGTTGAATACGAGACATAGGAATTCAAGCAACAATAAAAAGAAAAAAAATCGTAAGCAAAGTTACTTTGTACCTGTACTGGTGGGAATTACCACTTCATACAAGGTTGACAACATGGATGGGACAGGGGTGCAAGAGAAATAGCAAAACTTCATCGTTGATGTATGATTTGTTGTGAGTTGTGCTACATCCATATCTGAAAGCTACAAATTCGATAAGAAAAATTGGTTATGTAACTTGACTGCCTGTCGGCTAGCTATTTCTCTAGATCGGATGAACAGATTTTTTGTGATAAAAATGAGAAATATTTTTTTGTATGTAACAAGAGTTAGGGCTAAAGCTGATTTTTGTTACTAATATTTTTTCCTAGTTATATATATGATGATGGTAATTGGTATGTGTACATAATTAGACATTTATTTATTTTGATTCTGAAATTAAATGTTATGATTGACTACAGAAATTGCAATTTAAGTCCCTCATTTATCTACAAAAATGAACAAGTTCGTCCTCCTTGTTTCCCTAATCCTTAGTTCAGTCCCCTTCCACAGTCCACAGTGACAGATGAAGTCAATAATCAAGTATTCCTTATAAAAACTGTCTTATTCTCCTTTCTTACACACTCCTATTTCTTAGGGTTATATTTAAATCGTCAATTTAATTTATTTTATTAATTTCTATAAACTAGGAGTTTATGCTCATAGTCAAATGATATGAAACTTATTAGAACTCAACATTTTGATGTATGCTAGTAGTAGTAGATATTTGGATAGGCGAACGTAGACACACGGTAGACTCGTGTCGAAACGCCTCAAACTTAAGTCTTACACGCCACTCTCACAAGCTTCGTTTTCTTCTCTTACTATTTATGTACACAATATTTCCCTCTCCTTTATTCACTTTTCTCCTTCTTCTCTCTCTATAACTAGTAAGTCAAATTTTGTTTGCTAGGTTTGGTAATTTTTTAAATTTTGAGATGAATCTATGAATACGATCCAACACAGTTGCATCAGCTCAATTTAATTTGATTCCTTTCTAATTTTCTGTTTATTTGTTATTTTGCAGTTTTGTGATGAGAATTGTTTGTGCATCTCTTTGATCGTGGAGAATTCGACGTAAAATGGCGGCTATCGGAGTATATTCAACTCCAAAAATGGAATATGTTGAAGGACGTTGCGTCAGCTTTATTAATTCGTCGACTAGTCTTAAACTATGGCCTATGATTGGGAGAACGAACTTTCCGATTCAGAGGAAAAGGTTGGAAGTGAATTGTTCATTGCCTAATACTATGTCTCCGTTAGAATCGGAGGAGAATGCAGCAACCTTAAGTAGCAGTGATTCCCTAGAGGATGAGTTCAGTCATGTAACGAAGTTCGAAATGTCAGATTTCAAGATACGGAATCGTGTCAGCATTGGCCTTGGTGGCAGGGTAATGGAATCTCCTTGATTATTCTATTAGAACAGTGAAAACGTTTTCGTGTTGAAGTATAATGTCGTAGCTGGTTGATGCTTAATATTGGGTTGTATTTTGTGCTTTGTTTGTGGCAGGGAGATGAAATAGTGTTTGAAGCAATGGTGAATGATCCTCATAGGTAAGTGGTTTCCTTGAGGTACAATTTTGAGTAGAAGACTGAATTACAGTAAAACTCATCATTTCTTGGTTTCAACAATAACTGCAGTTCATTGTATAAGACCAGAGTTGTACTTAGACAACTTATAAGTCCTCGAGCCAAGCGGAGAGGACATCGTGCAATAGAGGTATATTGCACATACCTATTGCTTTTTTAACTTGTTTATCAGTTCTGGAAATGCCTAGTGATTTGTCCATTGATTATTGATAGTCCATGTGTTCTAGGTGTTGAAGAGACTGGCACGTCGTAAGCTCATGTATCATTCGTACTCTATGCAAGTTCATGGCTATATCTGCTCATCCATGATAGAGGAGAAGAGTTCATTCACCCTAGTCCATGGGGTATGCTGATTTCTACGTTAAGCTCATTGTTTATTTTTAAGGGACTATTCTTCGACTTGATAACATAATGAAGATAAATATACTAGCTTAGTCTCAAATTTCTGAGTACTTTCTAGTTTCATGCTTGTTCACTTAGGTGCCTGAGAAATAACTAAATACAAGTACTATGCACCTGTTTAAATAACAGAATGAGTTTTCTTCTTTGTGTATTATTTTAGACTTTCATATAGTTGACATTTTTGAGGACCTTGGTTTGTTCTCTCAGCATCATGGAAGTGCTTCCTTGAGACACTGGCTTCAACGATCTGACTGGCTTCCAACTCTAGAAGCTACTCTTTCCCTAGATCAGGAGTCTGTTAGAAGGGTGGGGGATGATACTATAGGAGGGCCAGCTATTTCTCGGCAACTGCGGCTAATCCGAATTTTAATGAGGGATCTCTTGATTGGAGTATGTGCTGTGTGTCAATTTTTATCTGAACAGGTACTAGATAACTAGTTTTTCTCTATTTGTTGATTGATCCTTGACTCTCTTTCTCTCAGGTGAACTATGTGCACAGCCATGGCCTTGCGCATACAGAGTTGAGGCTTGAAAATTTGCACATTAGCGCAGTGGATAAACATATTAAGGTGAGTGTTATTCATTTTGTCTATTGTAGTAGGGATTGGATAGTATTAGTACATTAAGGACAAAGTACTGCAGCTAACACTAGGATGCTTGCACATAAAACTCTATGGCTTAAACTGTAAGGGGCCGTTTGGTTGCTGGTTAGAGTAATGCAGGTATTAGTAATGCAGGTATTAGTTATGCAGGTATTAGTAATGCAGGTATTAGTTATGCAGGTATTAGTAATGCAGGTATTAGTTATGCAGAGTTTAGTTATGCAGGGTTTAATTATGCAGAGTTTAGTTATGCAGAGTTTAATAATTTTTTTGGGTGTTTGGTTTGTTATATTAAAAATTAATAAACATTATATACTTGTTAAAAATAAATTATTTGTTATTGTTATATCTTAGACCTTTCTTATCGTTGTATTTTTATTTATTTTTTGCATTTTGTTTAGGCAAAATTTTGGACAGAAACTTAAATGCCACATTTTTCAACTTCCTCATATAGTTGAACCGATGTATATATATGAAACGTGTTAACACGGGACCAATATTGTAATAGTTGAAACTTATTGATATGCTAGTACATATAATTATGTGTACATATAACAAAAATAGATACATATATGTTAACATCTTAGCAACACGGCGTACTAATGCTAGATATTATATTTGGAGCCTTTACTTCAATAATCTATAATATAGAAATGAGGAAGTTTGTTTTTTTCTATTTGATGAAGGAGATCATATTTACTAAAGTTTTGGCAAGAACTAGTTGAAGCTCCAGAGTTTACTTCAAGCAAAGCCATTGATATGCACATTGATAGATATGGCTTACTTCCAATGGCAAGAACCATTGATAGATATGGCTTTGATTTTGAGTTTGTGCAATTAGGCGTTTTAACTTGGAAATTTAGTCAAATAACGACTTCAGTCAATATTCTTAATAAAAAGTGATCGGATGAGAATTCCGTCAGCGCGGTTAGATCCGGAAGGTCATTTTTAGTCTAGTAGGATGGTTGGTTTGGGTTTCGAGGCTTCCATTTTGAGTTTGTGCAATTAGGCGTTTTAACTTGGAAATTTAGTCAAATAACGACTTCAGTCAATATTCTTAATAAAATTGATCGGATGAGAATTCCGTCAGCGCGGTTAGATCCGGAAGGTCATTTTTAGTCTAGTAGGATGGTTGGTTTGGGTTTCAAGGCTTCCATTTTGAGTTTGTGCAATTAGGCGTTTTAACTTGGAAATTTAGTCAAATATCGACTTCAGTCAATATTCTCAATAAAAAGTGATCGGATGAGAATTCCGTCAGTGCGGTTAGATCTGAAAGGTCATTTTTGGTCTAGTAGGATGGCTGGTTCGAGTTTCGAGGCTTTCGTTTTGTGTTTGTGCAATTAGGCGTTTTAACTTGGAAATTTAGTCCAAATGGTTTTCCAACAGTTCTAAAATCTGGCAAGCCTATTTTGTGTTGCTCCAGTTGATACATTAGGTTCCTCTTGAGCAGCTTGATCTTCTCTTGTGCCTGAAGCATCATCTACATCGACAACATCAATAGGAAATCCCACAGACATGCCATCAGTAATTTCTTGAGCTTCAATTCTTTCTATTTCTTCAACAGCATCTTCTGGCCCTTCGGCAAACTCTCCAGTAGCTCTATCCTTGCCAAATATCACTTCCCAGTCAGCAAATAATGGCCATTTTTTTAAGTTCATTGACTTGGCATTTGGATCAACCTAAGAAAATAAAGAACAAGTACATGAAGTAACTGAAAATATTCCACAGACAAAGATCCATTAACCAAGAGAAAATATAAGTAAGTAGCAATTCCCTAATGTTTTAAAATAACTATAAATCACCTTTATCAAGTCATCCCAAACTTTTGGATCATCAACTAAGATACTTCCATCACTATATTGGAATCCTAAACCACTTCGACTCTTTAGCAACGATATTGTTGCATAACTCTTTTTCCATGCTCTTATTTTAGAATCAACATGTGGTAGAGATTTCAATCCACAGTTAGGATGACGAGCATTCATGTAGTGTTCCAATTCCATTAAATATCCATGTCTAAAGGTTCCATTATCCCCTCTCCAACCATTAACACACAATTCCTTTAATCCATCTACAAGAGTAAGTTCCTCTTCTGGAGTCCATACCCTTCGAGATGAAGGTGTTGATTTTCTTGCCCTCTTTCTGGACACGTTAGATGTTGCAGCAGCAGAACTAGCCATTTCAATCTGTAAAATTATAAATGAAATCACAAGTAATACTAAGTTACAACTTACAAGTAAATTATTTTAATTATAACCAAATAAATTGTAATACAACTTGATTGATCTAGGAAAAAGATAATGTGAAGACATATATACAAATTCACTACTTCTATTAAAAAATAATAGATATACATTGAGTTTCACTATTTGTCTGTACAGACAACAATGTGAGACATACAAAAGATTGACCATTCGCTTTCACAAAATACTAAAGCTATTACATATTACAGTGAGCGGAAAACCAAAAACAAAAGTGCAGAAGCACACCAAAAGTGACCACATAGTTTAAAATTATAAAGATTGATTTCCCAATCTTTCATTCCACATAGACTGAGCTAGTTCATCCCTCCAAGTGGTCCACTCATCAGATGCTTCAATTGTATTAATATTGTCATGTTCATGTTGATTCTCCATGTGGAATTCCATTTCCACATCTAATGGGTCAGCTTCCATCTCTCTTCGAATGAAATTGTGTATCAAACAACATGCACTAATAATTCTATTGTGAACTTTAACCGAGTACCACGAAGGACTTCTAAGAATTCCCCAACGTCCTTTTAATAGTCCAAATGCTCTTTCAATAACATTACGCGCCCTAGCATGCTTCATATTAAAAAGCTCTTCTCGACATCGAGGTGATGGATTGTCACCCTGCCAATCCTTTAGCCAATATCTATATCCTCGGTAGGGAGACAGAAAACCATTTCCATTTGTATATCCTCCATCACACAAATAGTAATTGCCTAAAAATGTAAACAATAATATAATTACTTTAAATATTATTCTATTTTGATGTAGTAGAAATAGACAAGGGTCTGCCTATTATTTAGCATACCCTGAGGTACTTTCAACCCATTTCTTCGTACAACAGCATCTCGCAATACGCGACCATCAGCGGCTGATCCTTCCCAACCAGGTAATACATAAATGAAGTTGAGATTTCTATCACAAACCCCCAAGACATTAGTTGCTATATCTCCTTTTCGTGTTCTGTATCTTGGCTTATATATTGCTTCAACTCTAATGGAAATGTAAGTACCATCCAATGCACCAAGACAACCCTATAAGATAAATTCAACTCTAAATACTAAAGGACTATTAAAAGTAAAAATATTTTCACCATAATATTTCAAGTTTGTGGTAGTAAATCAAATGTTAGATTGAAATTTACCTACCTTAAACCATTTCCATCGATCATCAGTATCATCTTCGAGCACCGGATTAGGTTTAACAAGTAACAATGGAGTTAGTTTAAGAATAGCTCTTAGACATTCATTAAAGGCTCGACTTACACTCCACCCCGATCTAATATAATCAACTTTGACAGACCTGTTCTTTTCGTGATGAGCCAAAATATTTAAGAACATTGCTAACTTTTCAGTACTCGACATATTTTTACTATCAGTCAACCCTCCAATATTCTTGGCTAAGGAGGCCAATATGTGAAAGGCATTTCTATCCATCCTAAGCTTGTCAATACATACTATATCATTGTCACGAATGAGAACATTTAGATGAGACAAGATTTTAGGAATTCTAGCACTCATACTCTATCGAATGACCCGTCTATTTCTAGATTGGTTTCTTAATAACATGTTGTAAATAGCCATAAAAAAGCAAATAAGGACAATATACGAATGCACCACAATCTCCTCGAGGATCATAAAGCATTCAACATCGCACAATTGCTGAGAATCCATTTACACCTATTTTCCATTTAAAAATTGCAACATCATTATCAAATTGAATCCAAAAGAAACAAAAGTATCAATCATGTTACTTAACTAATTATTGCAGACACAATGTGTATAATAGGAAGGTAATAGATGGTTTCATACTAGAATGTTCAATTTTATTAAAAAGAAAATGAAAAGTAACATTGAAAAACAGGGTAAAATCGTTATTTTTGTTTGGCTTCAATAACTAGAATACTAATACTATTTTGTCAAACTGCAAATAACATGTTCATCTTTTGCAGTTTTAGAAGCTAAAACAACGAAACTTAATGAACCCATTTTTCAGAAAGCACGATTTTTGAACAAACAAAACAAAACCCACATCAAATTTGGGTGTACTAAAACATCAACCTAACTAGAAAATACTGAGAAGATCTAGAATTTCATTCGTCTCTCATCAGATTAACAAGAGGAAAAACACAAAAAGAGAAAACAGGAGGAGAAGAAGAAGAAAATAAAGCAAGATCAGCCAAATTTTGAGTTTCAGAACTTCTAACCTCAAAGAAAGAACGCCAGATTGAAAGTTTTTCAATCTATTTGCCTGGAAGCTGAAGAGTCATTCTAGATCTAGAGATATGGAGAGAGGATTGGAATGTTTATCTAAAAATAAGTAGTGTATATTTGATTGAGAGTGAAGGGCAAAATAGTCAATTTATATTTTTATTCAGGTATTAGTTATTCAGGTATAACTTATTCCATCTTTTACCCTGCATAAAATAATACATAGATTGACTCATAACTTAAGCATGTATTAGTTATGTGGTTTTCTAATTTTCTAACCAAACATAGTATTATGTGTGTTGAATTTTATACTTTGACAGAAAAATGCTACCAAACATGGTAAAGCTTATGCAACATTTTATACCTGAATAACTCAATCCTTATCCAGTAACCAAACGGCCCCTAAAGGAATATGTTCAATTATAATTAAGGCTTAACTCTCTGTAGGTTCCAAGTTGTCTGGTGGAAGAGACAAGTTTTCTTCAGTGAAACTAGAGCTATGTCTTAATTATTACAAGATATAGAATGCATGCATAATGCATACATTTGACAGTACTTCAGCGTACTTGATCAATACTTGCCAGGTGTTCAAATTTTTTATTAGTTCATCCAGATGCTAATTTTTGTGGTATTGCAAGAGTGCTTACTTAGATCAGGATAGTCACTGTTCTCCAAAAGGACAATGATCCCTACATTTTGTTTTGATACTTACAAACTCTTAAGTAGCATTTCCCAATATCCCTACATTTTGTTTTTCTTTCTGATGGCTAGGTTTTGATACTTATTGCTAATATGGTTCAATTTGGAAACATTGTACTATACTTGAAAATTGAAACTAAAATATGCCTTTTCGTTGGTTACATTTAAACTTTTCCAATTTGGGAAGAAGAGTTTTATTTCTTTTTGTCTGGAGTGTTCCAACTGACCTCTTCTTATCAGGTAGGTATATTGGGAAATGCTTCTGACTTTAATGAGGCTGATCCTGCGGATAACACATCATATGACAATATGGATAGGAGGAGAATGATGATTGCATTTGACATGAGGTATGAGTGCATGCTTAGATATTTATGTTTTTTATTTAGCGTGAAGCAAGCTATTCATGAGTTTCTATCTGCTTTTACCTGTTGCAAAGATGTGTTGGATTCATCATGGCAAAAATGGTTTTGAGGGAACTCATGGACCCAACGATCTTTGCCAAGTTCAAAGCATTCCTCACCAAGGTTGTGCACTATTTTTAGATGCTCCCATATACATGCTTTCACTTGCAATAACTTTGTTCACACCATCTTCAGGGAAATGATCCCTCTTGTTTGCGGGAGTTTCTTCTGCATGCTGTAAAAAGAAATTCTTCGGCCGGAAACTTTGGTATACAAGTTAGTACCCCGGTCCCTTGTTTATCGGTCATCGTTCCATTATTGTTCCATTAGTATTAGTTATAATCAATTATGTCTAATGTTTCTTTTTGTTGACCATGTTTATTAACTACCTCTATTTTTTTCTATGAACATAATTATGTAAGTTCCTTTGTGCTACACAATTTCCAAGAGTGTCAGCCAAATATTACATTTCTCAAAAGGTGTCAAATGGCCGGGTATGAAGATTAGAAGTGTGTGAGTTAATAAAAATGTCATGTCTCAACTCGTACAGGATTTTCTCAAGTCAAGGTGCATTAGTAAGAGTGTCATAGCCCAACTAGCTTAACTCAAAACCACTCTTCTATTTGTGTTTTCTTTGAGTATATAATTGAAGAAGATTCGTTATGCTTTTCCAATTTACTGAGGATTCTTATGACGTGGTCCTGTTCCTACTAGATTAGAAAAATTACTAGATTAGAAAAATGAGTTATGATGAGGTGGATTCAAACATATGAAGGTTGATGTAAATGAGTATTTTTTTATCACATAGTTCATCTTTGCTATAACGAAGCATGGAGATGGTAACTAACACATGGTAAAATATTTATAATTTGAGTAGCCTTATTTTGGTAATTCACTTAGGTAAAGGTGGATGTAATTCACTTATTCAGGTGATTCTCCCTTTTTAATAATTTTTTCCCTATTTCATGTAGTTTGATTTTATCTTATTTCTAGTCCTGTGTAAGAGCCCCTCTGGGATATTGCCTACAATAATTCAAGACAAGTTCTCTCTCCTTTTTCTTCACAGTTTTCTTTCCATTTTTTGGCAATATACTGATTTTTGTTCTTCTTGCAGATACTCGATAGGAACTGGGGTGCAGGTTGGCATTTGCTTTCAGTACTCCTTGCACCTAAACCTTTGGACAGGATAAGGTAGACTGAGTCATTACGGTTTGATGATGCCTTCTGGTAACTTTCATATGCATGCATCAGATATTAATTTTTATTACAAGCTATGCAGGCTCAATTAAAACCAGTCTCTGTTAGATGATAATTTATGGTCCACAGGCTAGAGCAATTTTTCTTGAAATGGACCGAATGGGTACTCTTCTAACTGATTTCTGCAAGAGCCCTAGTTACTTAAATATTTGAAACATTTTTGGAGGAACATGTATCTTCTTATCAGAACTTCAAAAATTATATTGGGGGCTGCTGATCAAGAGGAAGCATCTTCTAATGAATGATGAATTTTCTTGGTAAAATGGGAGTTTGTGACCTCTAATAGAGTAGCTAATAAGAATTTTTACATTATAAGTTAAAAGGCACGACAGGTTGCATGTACGTGATTCTAGATAAATTTATTTCAAGTGCTGATAATTATTTCTCAAACGGCACTATTATCTAGAGTACCACCATAGATAGTCAAGTTAATGACAATAATGTAAACTTACATAAGCATTAATGATCTGTACACTGATATTTCGCAGTTGCTTAAATGCTCTGAGGCATCCCTTCTTGTGTGGACCAAAATGGCGTGTGAACCCATCTATTGATCTAATCAGATGGAGTCTTGGCTCAACCACTGTTCGAATTGCAGAGGAATATATTTATGGGCAACAGCAGGTAATAGCTGTCAGCTGATCATGAAAAGTTTCCTTATCAGTGGTGAAATAGTCGATTTGATACTACAGAGAGTATTTGATTTTTTAAGTATAATCACTTCTATTTCCCCTCCTAGTTTCTCAACGGTTTATTTGAAAAACATACCTCCTTATTTCAGCTGGAATTTCCAGTGTGCTTCACTCCTATTGTTTACTGTTCTGGAAATTTACGATGGGTGCAAATAACCTGCTTCCCCATTTATTTTTAAACATTCAACGTTTCCTTTTCAGAAGAGTAGTTCATCTGAAGTTTTTTTTCCCTCTTATTAGCTGAGTTTATAATTATCTATGCTTTTTACTCCTTCAGGTGGAGTTTATAATCTTTCCATCTCAATATATTGTCATTGTTTGGAGGGGTTGGACATGCAATTTTGACTTCAAATTTGAAGTTTTGATTTGAAATTTGTGTCTGTCTATGATATTTTGAACAAAACTTCTTCCACTTGAAATTTTGGTAGTATTTCAATTCCAAATTTGTGATTCAACTTGGCCGATAGTTCTAAATTTTGCAAAAAAAGACCCACATTATTGCAATAGTAATTACCAAGCCTACTTTACCCAAAAACTAGCTCCTTCTCCAAACAGCCACCTGCTCAATCCGGCCAAGTTGTGGCTGTCCTGATCCGCCGGTGAGAGTTATCTCTGACAGCCATCATTTGTGACGGAACTCTTTGATGGTAATTTGGGGAAGTTTTGATAGTTCTCACAAATTGTGGGGTTTTCATGTTTATGATAAAAAGTGCAACTTTTGGAGTTCAGATTGCATGTCCCAGCACAATTTCAACTTCAAATCAACCTCTACCCGAATCAATGATTTCAAATCATTATCTTAAGTTCATATTCAAACACCTACTTTGTCTTTCTACTCAACTGGGCCCTTATTTTCATTAGGAAAACCAAGAACTGTCAGATTTCTAAAATGTGTCCCTCAAATTTTGTCTTCAAGCATTATCAAATTATAATTCTATTTAGCTCGTCATTACTATATTTCTCTGATCATTAAATCTCTTCATCTTGCCATATCTGTTAGTAGGATCAGAAACTAAAAGACGTGCTCATCTATTCTTTCTTCTGTTTTTCTTCTTTTTTCCAGCGAAGTAGGCTTGCTCATTTTGTCGAATTAATGGAGATGCTAAATCCTTATCCGAAGCCAAAGGTGAAACTCTTTTCTTTTATTACGAGTTCTTTATGTTCTTTGGTTAGTGAAGAACTTCTGCATCATTTGTTTCTCACGTACAGACAGTTTGACAATGCTTGTATTACAGTTTCTCACCTAAAATATCACATATTATGCACTTCATGCTGGTCTTTTTTGTGCAATAATCTGCGTTGTGAGGTCTCCTCCGTGATGTTTGAGCATAACATTTATTTGTTAACTTTCTTCAGTGGTCTTTCTCAGCTGCCTAATTGTTACAAATTGACTTTGCAAATTGATTAGCACCTCATATCTGGTGCCCTTTTTGCAAGCTTTGTTTTTTTCTATTAATATGCTCCACTTGATCTGGTTTTGAAATGTATGCATTTAGTACTGTGTGAGGGTATAGTTATTGCACTGTCTTTATTGTTTTTTAGGGTACGTAGTGATGCATTCTTGCGTTTATCCGATTGGGAAGAATTGATTTCTGGGTCTTGATGATACCTATTATGCCTTGAGCAATGTGCTTACACTTGCAACTGAATGAGTATCTACTGATGTGCAGCATTGGCTGGGATTGCTTCCTGGAAAGTGGCGCCTGTTATATTGTACTGGAAGACATATAGGGTTGACCCTTCGACAGCCTTCTGTTAGAGTACTCATTGGGGAAGCATACCTAACGATATCTAAAGTGTCAAAACCTAACACAACATTTTCAGTTGCCTCACACATTAGCTTCACTGTTATGGCTGGCCGCGACTGGGCTCATGACAAGTCTGGTGTAGGGGGGAAATTGCAAGTTGATTCCTTTTTCAGATTGAGAGCTGGGAGACGGTTATATCTTAAGGAGGAAACTATCAGCTCGAAGTTTCCGTCAGCTACACCGGATGCTCAAGCTTCGGTCCTGAAAAGGTTATCTAGTAAAAAGTGGAGGAAAGCGATCCCGATAAACAAAATCCCTTCCAGCCTTTCTGTAGCTAAACTAGTGTCGGATGAAATCGATGTGATGATGAGTCTAAATGAACCACTGAGTGGAAACATGGAAGTTGCACAGAAAGCAATTCAAGAAGTACGCACTCAAATACCTCCTGAAATGTTCGATCTATCAAAAATCATTTGCGGAACATATTTAGATTCAAGATTGCTTGTCCTTCGAAGTGTAAATGGATCTGCACTCTTTTTCCATAGATGTACAAATGACAGCTAATTGTAAAAAAAAGTTTGTTCATTCACTTTGTAAATAAGATCATATTTTTAGCTTTCTGTAACAGAGGGAGTTGGTAAAAGAATAGAAGCCAGGATTTGTGTATTAAAATCACAGAGATTCTCACTTACTATGTCACCAACTTTCTAGCAAAAGATCTATGCTCATTACAGTGCGGAAGGAAATACTGCGGCCTGCAGTTTTATTATATGGCGAAGGGGTATACAAATACCTTCTCTCTTTTTTCCGCAGTGGGGGACTTCAATTTTTCTCTCGGTCTTTAATTTTTACCCTTTAACGTTCTAAGTAATGAAAAAGGTGGTCAAAAATATCTCCGACATAGATTATGTCAGAGTCAGACACAAGTTACTATATTATAAAATATAAGTTCAATTTCAAACACATTATGTCTTTAGAAGTATGCCACAAATTATGTGTCTTACCAGGCGTAACTTCCCCACGTAACTACTTTAATCCTTGAGACAGGGTGGAGGATGGAGCAGATGAAAGTTAAAAACACCAAAACAGACCCGTCCGTCTACTGCGTACTGATCTCGAAAAAAGTTAAAACCGTCAATGCCACTTCATCTGAGTTCATTTACTTCTAAAACTAAATTTTATCTTTTAACACGTCCAGTTTTTAATTTTTTTTTATTTCTCAAAGTAGTTCTTTCTAGGCTAGAAGAACTAGCGACAAACATTTTGTAGCGCCTAAAAATAAAATCTGCCATGTCTCTGGAATAAATTCTCATGTGATATGAATCGAAGAATTTGACGAGCTAGACTTGGCAATAAAGATGCGCCAGCCTTGGTTCATTTACTATACTACTATAGCTTAAAAGTACAGATAACAGTGACGTATACAGAAATATTCGGATGTCTTCATTGAAACCCCAAATGGCCCATTAAAAACACCAAAAGACCAAAGGCCTTCTGGGTCGCACCGGGCTTGCCTAGTGCGGGTTACCTCTCCTATGTGATTTGCGAGCTATCGCATAGGAGCGGGAGTTTTACCTTGTGCGCACCCAAAGGATAGCGGCTGCGGATTTCCCTTGTCATAAAAAAATAAAAAAAAAGACCACGACTCTATTTCAAAAAGAAAAAAAAAACTAACAATAAATAGCCCATCTAAAAACATCCTCACGCATACCAATGCATGTCCTTCCATTCATTCCAAAAAGAGGTTTCTGTCTCGTCCCTCAGTCTCCCACTTAAGGGCCCGTTTGGCCATAGATTTCCCAAGTAAAACTTGGGAAAAAATTTGGCAAATATTGTTTGTCCATACACTTTCTCATTATTTGGCAAATTTTTTTGGCAAATAACCCAAATTTCCAATTACTAGTTTTTTCTAGTATTTGGGCCAAATCTCATTATTTGGAAAGTTTTAAAAATTCAAATTTAACACCAAACTTTTATCTTTTACAAACACTTTATTTATTAACACCAACCAACTCAATCAAATCTCCATCTGCTAACTAACTCAATTAATAAATTTTTCTATTATAAAGAGCATACATGTACAAGAGCTTTTATACCCAAAAAATTAGTTGAACAACCGTAGTAAAAGCTTTGTGGCAATCCTCTGTGGAGAAACAAATTTCCTTCTGTTTTCTTCTTCTTTTTCAAATTCATATTAGTTGTATTTTCATTATCATGATTTGTACTAGTCTTTTTTAACGATGCGACTATTTACTGTAATGATGCTTTTTGATTTGTTGCGGAAGTCATGAATCTTGTTACGCGACATTTCTATTTTGCTATGTAATACAAATTTATGGTTAGTTTTGATAGTTTTAAAAACTTATGGGCATAAGTCATATTTCTTAAAAAATTGAAATATATTTCCCAAATACTATGGCCAAACACATGGTGAAATTTCACCCAAATCTTCACCCAAATAATATTTGCCAAATATATTTGGAAATCTATGGCCAAACGCTAGCTTAGTGAATTCGAAATTCCAAGTAACTTCTGAGAGGGGTTACCAGGTGAATACATCATATCACACGAGAATCATATCTCTGGAATAATTCATTAACTATCGCTTACTGAATAACAAGTGCTTGCTCAACCAAAACCAAGACATCTGGTCTTGTCCAAAATCTAGGAAAAAAAAAAAGAAAATGCATAAGCAAAGAGGAGAAGAACATTTCCACCCAGATCAAGTAGAACCAATAAAGCAACATACCACCAAATGGAATGATGAACTCCATCTATATCAATCCCTGGCGTTGAAGATCAGTATATGTCTTTTTGTTGTAGATGTTACCCTCTTGATCTTCATATTCTTCTTCAAGATCAGGGCGCCACTTATTCACCCCTTGTCTTTCTTGGATTCTTTCCCAAAGTAGCTTGGCTTCCTGTGACACAATAAGAAAGTTGCATCAGACAGTAAAATATGCCAAGACATGGTTAAGACGGACCGAGGAAGAGGTAAGGTCTCTTTGAAGCCTAGACAGCAGAAAGGCATCACTGTCTGTCCAAACATCTAAGTCGGAGCTCAAATCGCTATTAGATAAGTTACAGATGGGCTTATGACTACCAACTTATCACCTGTATACACTTTTTGTGCTGACTTTATCAGGACCATGACAAACATCATGCAAGAACTTATGCTTCAGCTAATACCCAAAAACCCTTGGCCTATAAAATACATAAAAATCAAAAGCAAGACATCCGAAGGAAAGGAAGACGAGGAACAGAAACCAGGACAAAAAGAAACGGGAGGAGGGAACCATTATTTTTTGTTTTACAGAATGATTGAAATGAAGGTAAAGGAATTATCACAAACAACATAGCATAGGAGGTCTCTTTACGTCCATCCAAACAAAACTTTGTTTCTTTTTACATGTCTTTCTCTCCTTTGAAATTAAGGCAAAATAATGTGAAACTCTTCTGTTCTTTCTCTCCCTTCCCTTCATCCAGAACATCCATTTACATTAGAGAGATCACTCGTTAAGCCAACATAAGCAACACTGATGTCTAAATGATCAGTTTTATTATTGTGATTGGTAAAGGTCTAATTTTATTGAACCAGAAGCACTATGAGTGTGCTGAATATATACAGCAAAAAGTAAATGAATACTTTCCCTCAGTTCTAAATTATCAGTGTTGTTATATAGACGCCTTTCAGATGAATAGCATTTACTACAATTGTTTTGCAACTTCATTTGATTGTGAACAGCAAATGTTTTACTTAGTTTAAAATCTAGAAAACTAAACAAACATTATATAGTGACAATGCTGAACTGAAAATGCAGCTTAGAAAAACATACTTCGATTGATGTGATCTCATTGAAGTTCTTAGTATTTGGGATACTGAGACAACGCATCCCATGTTGATGTCTCCATTCCTTGAAATGCCGCTCATAAGCCCTACGGCCCCAGTAACTATGGTTCCCACATATCTCACACTTGAACTCCTGAAATCAGTCATACAAGAGTGCCTAAGAGCGAGCTCACATATCAAAATAAGTGGCATATAGAGATGAATGTTAAAGCTAATCAACCATCAGCAGCAGACGACCGATTAATCCAACAAGCAAACAGTTGTAATCATTTAGATATCGAAGTTAAAAAAAGGTATTATCCTGTGGAAGCATCCTCTAATCCTCTTCCAGACCCCTTTTTTGTCCCTCCTATTTTCCACTCATTTTTTGACAAATCCTTTTTTCCTTCCTCCTTTCCATGCTCTTTTTGAGGCAGGTAAGGAAGTTTTTAACTGTACTTTTTGGGGCCTGGTTCAGAGAAGGGGTAAATTTCATCTCCAAAAGAGAAGTTCTAAACAATACAAACTGTAAGACAAATCTGTGATGAATTAACCTCAAGTTTATAACAAGGACCTCGAGAACAAAAAGAAGACCATCACCAGCGCCCAACCAAAGTTTACTCCAAGTCAAATACTACTCAAGAGCTAAAAGCCAAAGATTCCAAACTTCAATACATAATTTGGAACTATGTAAGGTGATAATACAAGTCAACATCCAAAATACAAATGGAAACTGTAAAATTCAACAAAAATTTTCACTCGGCAAAAATGAAGAAGAACAGCATTAACAATGTGATCACCAACCCATGACAGACATAAAAAATCAAAGGGCAGGCAGCCTACAAAACACACCAAAAGAAATTACCTGACCAAGACCGTGAAGTTTATACAACCAGTACGGAATAGGTTTCCCATCCCAGCCCATTGGCAATTTCAGTGGATTATAAATTTGTTGGTCTTCATCATCACTCTCAGACTCAGCCTGAACATCGTCCTGAAAGAAATCATTGAGACAGCATTGTTGTCAGAAAGGATGAAAACTCATATATCCGGCAACATATCCTAAAAACCAATTAATTAGTGTGACCAAAGGTCCCTAAAGAGCATACTTTATGGTTCTGTTGATTCTCCAATCCACTTTATTACTAATCAATGCAATAAACTCCAAGGGGCTATTCCGTTTATCGTCCATTTTAAAAGCTATGATCTCAACTAAAGCAAATAAAACATCTTCATTGGTTATATTTATTAAACAAAAAAAGAGGGTACTGTACATATTCTTTCCAGTTATGATTATTCTTCTAATCAGAATTACTAGTCTAATAATGAAACAACACATCAGTAAGAACAAAAAATTGGTAACTGACTAGTAGTAACTAATAGATCACATGTCCCCCGACTTCTTAAATTGTGTAACTTCTCTTTGTTAATAAGGACAAAATTGCAGTGATAGTCAAATGTGAGTCTAAGACCCTATTCTAGCAACCAGGCACAAGGACAAAACAAAGTAGTAATTATTCAGTCTTCATTAAGTGCAAACAAATAGAGCCTAAACTTAAAAAATGGTTTCAGAGAGACCAGATGTGTATTTTACTCTAAACACACTTTTAGGATATTGCTTTGGATAAAGCATTATGTTGGAATTTTAAAAATGAATTTCGTTAAGACTGATGAGTAGGTTTAAAGATGGAGTAGATGACATTTTTTGGTCGTTCAAATGGTAAGAGGGAAAATGGGACACTTCAAAAATTTAATGATAAATCACAACTAGTGAAAATTTCCATTTGGAAGGTGGACATCATCTCCTTTCTTCCCCTTTTTTTTTTTGGTTTGGTTGGTTAGTTGGTTCTGCGGCAGAGAGGGGGGGGTTACCAATTATTCTTAGCAAAATTTGAGATAGAAACAGAAGGCAACAAATCCTACATAAAGCCGACTGAAAAGAGTTGGCATTGTTTACTTGAAATATTATTTAAATCAAGGCATTGATCTCTTTTATGGTGTTTTCTTTCCCAAAAAAGGTTACAAGTTACTCATGAATTACCTCTTCACGTTCTGCCTCCATTTCTTCATATGTCAAAGCCTGCTTTTTCTCAACATTTTCTCTTGTCCGCACAATTGTCTGCAAGGTAATAAAATATAACATAAAAAAAGAGTCAGCAACTCTGGGGTTTGACATAACATAGATCGGCACACCATGCTTGTTATCTTTCCCAAACATGACTCAAAAAATTGTTAGTATGTGGTGCATAAAGAATCCATTTTCTGAATTTACTCCACATTAATTCAAATGTGAGCATGTTGCCTCAGATATCTTTCCCTTTAGGAGATAATAAAAGTGTTGTGTCACCCACCTCATCCAACAGATCACATAGCCTTCTTATCTTGGCTTCCAGAAGAGCAATCTCTTTTACATCACCCACTTGAGGAGTTGCAACAACACCGTTTTGTTCTGGTTTCCGCGAGCCTTTTGCAAAATGCTTTCTGTCTAGTTTTTCTAGCGAGATATTCTGTCAAAACATCAAGCAACAAATTTATGCATGTCTAAACCAATACACAAATAATTTGTAAAAAGAAGTAATCAAATCCTCAACCATGTAGGAGAGAATACTTTATTCTTGGGTAAAGATGCTAGCAACTGACCTTCGTAAGGAAAAGTCTCTCAGCACGTTGCTGAATAGTACCTCCTGTCTTCAGTCCCAGTGCTCCCAATGCCTACAACAGATGTCACAACATTGAAGTTTCGTATCAACATCCAGCACACTAAAGTCTTGCACCAATATTTAATACCATATAATATAGTTTGCATCATAGGAATGACATATATAAGGAGTACATGGAACATGATAACTGGCAGGCAAAGAGAATTAAGGAAAAAATCTGGGCAAATAGGAAAATGTGAAACTGATGCAATTTTCTAAACAACCCACCAATAAGAAGTTTGATTTGGTAAAATCAAAAGTCCAAAACCCACACATTCATAAATTGCAATTTTCTTTGATTGTTTTCACAAAATTGCAAAATTAATGGGCGAAGGGAATCCCCAACTATCAAACAGTCCATGACTCCATGCAAATACGAAGTAATAGTCAAAGATCTGTCTAGAGTTTTCTTTCAATGTGCATTTACCACACAACCACTACAAGAAACAGTTGAATACAAAGAAAGAGTTCCAATGAACCAGAGAAAAAGAAAGGATTTGACAAAACAATGTCTTTAAGAATGGAGACCACAATGCAGGAGATCGGAGAACCAAAGATCTAATTGACGATACTATTATCACTGGAATGAGAAACACTAAGAGCTTAAAGTGAAAATCGGAAAGGATTAGGAAACATCTAAAAGCACTAGAATGATTAGACTGCCTACTTACAGAAACCTTCTGTAATAGATTGGCTGTTGAGACCAGTACATTCTCAAGATAGAGACTACTGAATAAAGACTAGCGTTCTTGAACCTGGGAGTTAACAATTTCAATTGCATACTTCTACTTGACATCCTAAGCATCTGCCACAATTCAGTCCAAGAGCAATTGAGTTTAAATCATAATTGACCTATAATAGTCTGAAGAAACTAAAATGCAAACAAGAACTGCAGTAAGCATTCCGACAAAAGGCTATAAGAGTTGCTATATATAAACATCAAACTATCCAGAAATATATGCTTAAATGCCTTGTGTACAAATAAAATAAGTTGTCACTCCATATCAACGTTATAATCTGTGTGGTAATTATAAAACAAAACAAACTGGGGTTGCACGTAATTAAAATTCAAGATTCACTTCAAACTTGTAAAAGAAATCTAATAAAGGATGAGTTCCAATCAAATTATCAACTCAAGACAAACCATCAGTATCAGTTTGTTTTGATGGATGAACCAGATCAAGTAGATACTAAGTACAACATTTTTTTTATTGGTCACTTGGTACAGCACATTTCCTTCTTTCTACATCCAGCAAATCAGATCAGCAGCACATAACTCCCAAGTTTAAGTGCAAAAATAACATTGTAACTCCTATGAATGTTGGTATATCCTCAGCTCAATGTGTTCCAAAACTTGAAAGCATTCAAGTTCCATTAAAGAAAATATAGATGAGAAACAATTTAAAGAAACTTCCATACCTCCTTTAACTTCTCTGGTCCCACTACCATCAGCTCCTCAGCTGTACTATAATAATCAAGATCAATCACAGTATGATTCTCTGGAGCACTTCCATTTTCCTGACCACTATTTTCCCATCCTTCTACCTTGCCCAAAGTCCACTCCTCTTCGAATTCACTTGTTACCTGTCAGAAATTAGTTATTAGATTGATCAATCATATTCACAGATAAAACACATAATACCGAGAGTTATTTGGAATTTTTCAAAACAGGCATTAAAATGACTATGTGAACGATATATAAAAAGTATGACAGCATAACCTCCTCATATCAGAAGATACAATCCTTAAACTACACTTCTTATACAGTGTTTCCAATGAGAAGACATGTGAGTTATGACTTCCACATAGCAAAACGTCCAACTAACACCAATTCACTCACAAATCCAAAAAAATGCATTAATTTTTACAAGCAGATAAAAAGAAACCTTCTCTGAATGTGTTCACTTAACTCTCTCATTATTTTTAAAAGGGGGAGAAAGACTGTATATAGTATATACACTTCCCAACGATGTCAGACAGAAAGAAGCATGCAACAAGTAAGCAATTGTCACTCAATAATAAAATCAGACTGAGGAACAGCGATGTTGATAAAGAAAACGGCACCTTTGAAAATATCCTATCAAGATCCTGCAAGGGCTCCGTCCGCTCAAAAAAATAGACCAGATACTCCAATAGTTTCTGTAAATATTCTAGGTACTGCCTGTAAAACAGCAAAAAGGCAAATATTGCATATCACAAAGACATAGAAATCATAAAGAGGAGGGAATGGTTTTACATTCAAATTTGAACTTAACAGGAACAACAAGATTTCACCAAATCTAACGGGCAGTTATTGAAGAAGCTGTTATTTCAAAAGTTGTTCCCTGAAACTGTCTATACCTCATTTAACTATATTAAGCAACAAACTCTGAACGATATATCTGATTTGAAAGATTGAATATTCACACCAACTAGAGACATTCTTACCTAGTCGTCTTTGCTTTACAAGGAATCTTCTGTGGTTCGGAAAATACATTTAGATAAGCTGTGTATTCAATTGGCTCACCAAATTTGGAGTTGATATACTCGTTAAACAATTCATGTAAGTCTAGGTATCGCCCAGAACCTTCCTGTCAACATGTCACAATAGCAAAATGGAATATAAGACAACTAGTATCACACAATTACCAAGAAGCAAACATAAAGAAGCAATAGACACCATGAGGGACAGATTAACCGAGAATTCCCTGCTTCAAAAGTTATACAGAGTTGCACGTAAGCATAATCTCACAGCAGAATCGTTAGATTAAAATGGAAAAATTCACATAAACATCAGCTATGAAAAGCAATTACTAATTCGTGATCTGGCATGTACGGAATGAAAACTATATTCTCAATTCTACCGGAACTTCTATGAAAGCCTTCCATTTCTTCTCTTCGATGAACTTGTTTTTCCCAGAGAGTATGCTAATTTTTGGCCTAAATCTTCTTTTGACGATCAATACAACCTTTGATCAAAAAGATATACCTTGATTATATTTCATCTCTTCAACAAGTTTAGTAGTGAACATAGCGGCCCTATTGTTCCGATTGAGAGAACACCCAATGATTTAGCTTTTATATAAACTTCTAGTTCTCTCTTTTGCAGTAAGTAGACAAAGTCAGTCTAATTTCAAGTTCCAATACCAACACTAGTTTTTACGACAAGTTGTTAACAAACCCAACGACTGAGCATATGCTTCTATACGACATAATTTCCTTATCATAAGCTATAGGATCGGTGAATGTTCGATTGCATTAGCTTTTCAATACAACTGCTGTATCACATAATAGAAAATCCTCACTATCAGGGAAGAGCTAACTGATAAAATACAAGATCTGTCTCACAACTGCAAATACTCAGAGAAAAAAAGGATGTCTACAACTTAGCCGATGCCCAATAAATAAACAGTGTAAACATGTAATATGCTAAAAACTACTAAAATCACTGTAGTAATTAATATTTCAAGCAAACTCGCTAAACATGCAGCGAGAATCCATCATCTCATCAAAAAAAAAAAAAAATACAAGCAACTAATTTCCTGCCAGAAAGAAACAGGATATGAGGCACAGATTGGAGCCGAAGAGTGACACTGACCTCGCCACTAAACTCAATTTGTGGTTCTTCTTTGAGGAGCTGCTCATATTCATCACCAGTATCAATAATAGCACGCGCAGCAGGATGCCTTCTATGGTACTCACGAATCTAATTATCACAAGCACAAATAAACAGAGCAAGTTCATAAAACAAAACAAAAGAAATTGAATTAAGTAACCACAGCATATAGAATATGAAAAACAATAAGAGCTCAGACTGTTTTAACCTCTTTCAATCTGTCATAAAATGCACTAAACACATTTGTTCCAGTTGCTGTCTGGCCTCCCAGAGCTGCAATTTCATCCTTCCTCGCTCCGTCTTTGTCTTCATATATATCTACCTACAACACAAACATCAATTGTTAACTAACTTCGAATAAAAATTAAAATACAAAATTAATTCAATTGTAAGCGGGAACAAGAAATTACCAGTTTGTGTGTGGTGTCAATGATTTGCTCGATCATGTTACGAACGCGGTGGCTCTGGTGGAGCCGGTCCTTGTTAGTAGCCGGCTCAGTCTGGAGATCCTTCACAATAAGGCGCTCCAACCGCTCAACTTCCTCGTGCGATGCACGAGTCACCTCCAGTAGAGTCGACGACATTGTTCTTCCACTTCCACTTCCACTTCCACTGATACTACGTTACGCTCAGCAAGAACTAGGGTTTCGAGTTCGTCTTCTATCTTTTTCCTTTTCGCCTAGAACTTGCCGGTTCAGAGGAGCTCGGTTTTGCCGGGTTGGAGTGATATTTCTATTGGTTTATTTATACTTAAGTGCGCATTTTGCCATCAAAAAAGAAAAAAATATATATTTTATTTAAAAATTCCAAAGTTGGATTATAACTTTTGTAATAAAATTTTAGAATGTAAATGTATTTTTTATAAAAATATAATTTTAAGAGAAAAAATTATTTTAAAATTTTGAAGTTGTAATTGGAAATTTTACGCTTATCTTTAAATAAAATGAAAAATTTCCATAGTCAAATGATTAGTGTTGTGATTCCACCCGTAGTTTGATTTGAGACTTAAAAAAAATATTTAATTATAATCTTTCAATTTAAAAGTGTATTATTACTCTCTTAGATTTTTTTGGATATAATTTCAAATTATAATTTGAAATTAAAATAATTTTAGACATGATAAAGATTTCAACTAATGAAACATTACCTTCATAACTTCAATATATAACTTCTCAATAAAATAAAAATATGTTTTTTACATAACAAAAACAACATAAAGCATTAATAATCGTTATAAGTAACTGTTCGAATCTAGAATAAGATTATAGTCCCAATAAGTGAAAATTACAGAAATATACTACTTAAGACTTTTATTAACAAAATATCAATATACTTATATTTAATTACAAACTAAGTTTTTAAATTACATACATAACATAACATTTAATTTTTGTATTTAATTTAATTTTATTTTACAGATTTTCTCTCTCATACTTTTAGTAATTCGTGCCTTTTATAGGGAGTATAATTAGGATATTAATATTTATCAAATATTCTCTCTCCTAAACAGTTCCAAATTCACACGTTCATTGCCTTTTTTTTTCCGTTTTTTAGGCATAGTGAAACTCTTTGGGATCATAATTAATTTTTTATTTTTGTTCTGATAAAGCTATTTTTTTTACCAAGAAAGGGTGTACTTTTCAATGTTGAGTGATAGTTTCAATAAAATCTTGAAAATATTTTGGGAAGTCAAAAGGGTTTCCTTCCATATTCTTCTTCAACTTTCTTAACCTTTAATCTTCTCAGTCTTTTTCAACTTTCTTAACCTTTAATCTTCTCACAGAAACGTTTCACAAGACAACTAATCTAAAAAATTGCCATTGTTCGATGGAAAAGACTCCACGTAAAAGTCCTAGACTTAACAAATCTGTGGTAATCGTTGATAGCCCGCCGATCAGTTCAAGACCATCTGGTAGATCTAATGAGTTTATTGTTATCAATTCTTCATCATCCTACAAAGTTCAACAAAAAGATGAATATGGGGCTGATACAAAATCGAAGGGTAAAGAAAAATTGGTAGAAGATCATTATCCACATGACAGCGATTTTGAGGACGATATCCCTCTCTCTAAAAGATTAAGAGTAAATAATGATCAGGATTCAAAGGTATTTATTTATTTGATTAAATTTCTTTTTTTTTGACATGCAAGTGTTGAATCTTATTCTTAATAGAAAGATTTGTAACATTAATTAATTTTTTATGCCCTAGAATGTTGATGGGGGTTCGGTGAGCAAAGGTATGAATGGTTTAAGTCAAAAATGGACTAGGTTTGTTAATAATAAAAGGAAAAAGGCATCACAAGTACCACTAAAGGTATGTTTTTCCAGCATTTTCTAGTAATGTAATTTTTTATGGAAATATTTCTTTGCTTATATTATAAATTTTGCATTTTATGACTATTATAATTTATTGATTTTTAATATATATTTTTTAGATCAAGAAGAAACAATTGTGTTGGTGTTCTTATGTTAATGTCAATGTTTTTGCTGATATAACAAAGCTACTTGAAAAAATTGGTAGTGTTCATTTGTTTAAAGAGTCTCCTTTTGGTTATCTATTAGGCTTGTCCCAATTGAAAGTCCAACCTCAGATTATTAGATGTCTTGTTCATCATTTATCTAACAATCGGGATGACATGTTTGTGTTTGACATAAATGGTAAAGAAATGCATTTTGGGCTTAGAGAATTTTTGGTAATTACTGGTTTTAAGTGTGGTGGGTGTATGGTTTTTTATCATGATCAGAATAGTACATCTAAGTTACTTTCTTGTTACTTTCCAAATGTTGTTGATAAGTTTTGAAAGTTGATTTCATAAGAGTGTTTAAAGAAGATGGGTTGATTCAGGAAGAAGACTTTTTTAATATTGTCACAGCCCTTTTTGCGCATAGCGGCGGAAGGGTTTTTCCAATTTTAAGTGACGTTATTGATTTAGGGATTATTTTACTGTTTCAAAGTCGCCACTTGGAATTGAGTTATGGTGTTCCAAGTCACCTTTTTGTTTAATCCCTTATCAAAAGGAAATGACTCTTTATATTAGTCTGCGAACCAGAAATTCGGATAAGGAATTCTGTTGACCGAGGGGAAGGTATTAGGCACCCCTCGAGTCCCGTGGTTCTAGCACGGTCGCTTTTATTGACTTATACTTATCTTGATATGTTTTTGGATAATTTGTGTCTATACGCCATGGTTTGCTTATTTTTTAATTGTTGAATTTTTATTAATCTTAAATCGGATGCATAACTGCATTCTCGATCTTGACATTTGGAGACATAACTGTCTTCTTTGCATCACACCTAATAATCTATTTTTATTTATATAAGTCTCTACTTTAAATTAATAAAATTTAATTATATTATTGAACAAGGTGCATCACCGCATCCTTGATTTTTTTTTACTGTCTCAAAAAAAATATGTGTAACCACATTCTTAATTGAAACAAATATTTATTAATATGCCTAAAACTCATCTAGTCATTAGAAAACAAATATTCTTCCTTTATACATAAAACTAAATAAAGTAAAATAAATCTAAATGTTGAGGATACAATATATAATTCGGGCATCATTTCTATATCTTTTATTTTATATTTTAATATTTATATTTTTATTACTCTTAAAGTTAATATCAAAATTAAGTATACACTTTCAAATCAAATAAAACAATAAGGAATTGTTAAAAATAAATATAATTTTTGTTTGATAAAATTAAACAACAACAATTTATTTATTTATTTATTTGTTTGTTTTTTATCCTAACTATACCTACTTTATCATTATTATCTGAATCAAGATAAGAACAATGTTATGACTCGTTTATTTTTAAGAGATCACAACTAACAATGGGAATTAGATAAATAAAAATAATTATCGATTAAATCTACCTTCATACATTAAATAGAGAGATATAACAACTAACAAATTAATCATTTCAATCTAACTAATGAATAAAACAACATATAAGAAAACTTGTCATAAAATTACATCAAATTCCATAAATAAATTAAAGAGATAGGGAAAAGTTGAATACCGCAAAATCTTGACTGAACCTCGATTAGAACACCCACTAATTTTTGTAGATGATTCGTTATGGTATATGTGTTGTGTTTAAATAAAGTAGTAATGAGAAATGAAGAAAATATGTGAATGTATTAATGAATATTTGAAAGAGAAATAAACTAAAACTAAAATGGATTTCCTCTTTTGTTTTCTGCGTGAATGTTGATTTTCTTTTTTCCTTTTCACCTCTGTTTCTTGTGTGCTGCGTGTGTGTGCAGAATGCTTTTTTTCTTTTCTTTTTTCACGTCTGTATTTGTATGTTGGGTGTTTTGGTTGCTCATTTTCTCTTCCTTCTTTTCGTTGGTCCTGTGTCTGTCTATATAGTAGTAGTAGTATGTATGTGTTGTGTCGTGTGTGTAGTGTACTAGTGTGTGAGTTGGGTAAGTGGGGTAGTGGGTAGAGTGGGGGTAATGGGAGATAGGTAGTGGAGTAATGTGTAGTATATATAAATATAAATATAATAATTAAAATTACTAACTAATTATTTTAAATTACTATAAATTTAAGAAAAGTTAAATAGCTAATTAAAAATATAATTAAGAAACACTAGTTTATTTATTAAATATACATTAAAAGAAAACATTTATTTTTTGAACATTTTCTTCTCTTTTGAATAAATTGAAAACAAAACTTAACTTAAAACATAACTCTATTTTTGTGGTTTTCGAATATTTTTACACTAAACTTACTAAAATATGATAAAATCAAAATATTTAATTTAAAAGTAAAAGAAATATTTAACCACTAAAAATGGTGTAATACCTTAAATTCGGTCAAAAATTACGTGTCTACAAATATGTCTATGATTTATTTCATTAGTACATTCATTTTGTCATCTCCACCACAATTGTCACATATTCCAAAAGATCACTTCTTATGTGTTGAGTCGGGACAGTACATTACGTACCCCTGGGGCAATCTCTCTTTTTTTAATCTTCGTCATTCTATATCGAGTCAAATGGCAAAAGATCCGGATTATGTGAAGTTTGAAGGGTTTCCTCTCGCATTGCAAATTTGGTTTTATGAATGTTGTAACAAAGTTGATAGTTCAATTGCAATTCGTAAATCCAATCGAACGCCTAGAATATTCAATTGGGATATATTTTGACCATCTCCAGAAAGGAATGTTCAGAAAATACGACAATCAGGTAATAGAAGTTCTTTTGTTATTATTTATTAATTTTATTTTTTATGAGTAGTGTATATTCACAATTTATTATTATTGTGTTAGTATACATTTGAAGATCTTGTGTTCATGGATGAGGAGCTTGATATCATTGAGTCGGAAAATCTTACTGTTTTGACTGATATGTCATTCAATAAGAAGAGTAAACGTGATAGATATGTAAGGCAAAATCAGAATTTACAGACTCATTCTGTCGTTCGACAGAATGTTAAAGATTTGCCTCATAGTTCTGCACAAAAGGTTGGAAGTGATCCGAGTTTGTCATTTAATAAAGATTTGCAGAAAATTGCCCAAGAAGTTGTGAAGGTATGATTATAAATTTTATTTACTTTCTGTCAGAATTTTTGTTGAAGAAACATTAATGTCATTTTAATTTTTGTTAGGTTCGTAATGAGTTGGAAAATTTTGAAAAAAATGTAGATGCTAAGTTTGTTGAAATGAAGGCTTTTATGGATTCATCAATCAAATATATCATTCAAGAGTTGAAATCTCTTCATAATGATGTTTCAACCAACAAAGATTTAGGTGGTGAACGGGTTAGTCTACTTATTAATATATGGACTTATTATTTACTTATAAACTAATTTTTAGATCAAGATTATTATAAATGTTAATGTGGATACTTTGTGTTGATTTTAAATATTATTAATCTTCTTGTTGATTATATATCCGTAATTAGCTATATTGTTGTCTTATTGTAATCGTTGAATGACTCAAAATTTTATTTTTATTGAGAACATTAAGGTTGTTGTTGAGGATCAAAGAAAAGGAAATGTTGATGTTCAAAATGAACATTTGCAAGATTGTGGAGATAAAAATGGTGTCCAGACACCATCTTCGTTTCGTAATCATATTTTTTATAACAATTGTAAGTTCTTTTTTGTTAGCTTAAATCTATTTTTTATAACTATTTTTAGTTCATTTCTGATTTGTGTTTAAAATTTCATAAAATATAGATACATAAATGATGTTTGTATATCTTAATAGGTGGTGTATCTGTTGATTTTGAAATAAATAGAAAAACTCCTACATTGGATGACTTTGTTATGCCCAATATGCGTGAATCATAATTGGTTGCTCTTGAAACTGGACAAGCATACGTGTCATCATTGGTAGATGTAGAATCTGAAAATATTTGTGTCACACCTTTGGAAGTTGCTAAAGCTGGAAAAACAAAGTTCAATCAGTTTGGTGTTATTGAGGGTGAAAACACATTTATCTCACCAGTTCAGCATGTTCGTACGAAGATTCCAGGAACGTATGCCCAATCACCATACACAAACTTAAGTGAATCAGGTGGCACATCGGTGAACACAGTGAATTACTGTTTATGGAGGCATCCTTTTGTAAATTACAAGGGGTTTGATATGTACAGTGAAGTTATCCTTCAATTTAAGAAATGGGTTGATAGCAAATTATCCAAGAAACGTGGAAAGTATGTATTGTTGTGTACCATTTGTTCATTCACTTTATATGCTATAACTACTCATTTTGTTTTATAGGAAAACCAGTTTCTTCACTGCTGCTTCAAATCCAATTGATCCTCCTTTTGAGTTTGGTGTTGGTAGGGTGGATTTGATGGATTGGTTTCACCCTTTGGCTTATCCAGGGCAGCCTTGGAGTGATTTGGTAATTTTTTACGGTGTAACTCTATATTAAAGTAAGATTTGATATTTGTTTTTTGTTGTGATTTTTAGTGATTGGTATGTAAAATTGGCTTCATTGTAGTCACTGAAATCTGTGATTTAGTTCTATGGGGACTGTTGTTTTTGGTATGTATGTTAGGAAAATCAACTACTGACACAAACATAGACTCTTAATTATAGTTTAATTGTTACAATGACACAAACATATAATTTTAAATATAGTCTAATAGGTAATAATCAGATAATGGTAATTCTTTCAATCAAGTTGTGATATTATTTTATTGTTTGGTGCTAACTAATAAAACTTGATATGCAGCATGTTGATGTGATAATGTATTATCTTCACAAGTTTTGCAAGTATGGTCCTGATAATAGTGCAAGAATTACTACTACTGACCCTTTTTTCATCAGTTGGGTTGTTCAAATTCATGATGCGTGGGAGGCCAATGGCAAAGGTGAAAGTCTGATTAGTATACATCATGAGGTTGCACAATATATAAGAGGTGATAGGATTCTTGCTAATACTCCATGGGTGGATGTTGATCATGTATGCATTCCAGTCAATAGTAGTGCTGCATTCCACTGGTTTCTGGTTGTTTTTTCCATAAGAAAAAGGTGTTTATATATTTATGATTCTTTAAATGGTTATGGGGTTAAACATACCAATGCAGTAACAAGTTTGGTTCAAAAAATATCTAGAATGATACCTTGGTTCCTAGTTGTTACTGATTATTATGCTTTAAGGAAAGACATTGACTGGAATACAGATGTGCATTATGCTGGAAGGCCAGTTGGTGATCCGTTGGTATATGGTAATCGTGAAAACATCCCACAACAATGCGACAATTCAACGTAAGTATAATGTGACTGTTTTGTTGTTGATTATACTATGTATTGTACTAATTATGTTGATTGGGTAATATTTATAGGGATTGTGGTCTGTATACATGTGCTTTTGCTGAATATGTGTGTCGTGGAGATAGGAACGTATCTATGTCGGGTTTAAATGCTGAAAATCTTCGGTTGAGATTTGGGGCAACTCTGTGGGAATATGGAAAGATGAAAATTGATACTGAATCTGTTAGTGAAGATGAAGCTTCTAACCAAGGTGGTCGGTCAAATCGGAGGGTCAAGGAGTAAAAAGTGTCATTTCTTAAAACAGAATTTCATGAATGTTTTATGCTATTGAATTTTTTTTGTAATTTTGGATAGTACTTTAGTTGCGTTTATGGTATTTAGTTCGTTGGATATTGTCTTTATTCTGTGATTATGCATTTATTTGGTTGTTTTTTTAATTAAATTTTGTGATAAATTTATAGTGTGAGTTTGGTTTGTACATGTATGAGTTTGGTATAAATTTAGGTATAAATTGAGTTTTATCATTATTGAAAAATTATACTAAATGCTTGTATATGATCGATTGGATTTCTTTCAAAGCTGCAGGTTGGTATACATACCAATGTGTTTACCCAGTTTGGTACTTTTTTTCTTTCATATGTGAACCAATTTTTTTCTTTAGCATAGTGTTTTTTATTTTTGGTTTCAGTGTTAACCAAGAGTGTAGTCATAAGCCATTTATTGAAATATCAAAGTATTTTACCAAAAATTTAACCATTTAATGATTTTAAAAAAAAACAGTCAAAGAAATACCAAAGTATTTTATCAATATGTTAACCATTTAATAAACTTAAAATAAAACAGTCAAAGATTACATACCCTTAAACCAATTTTAAAATTTATGATTTTATTAGGTTATCATCAATAAATGTTGGAAATATTTTTCATATTATTATTTACACCAATTCATATACTTAAAATACACTAAAATATGTACCATATTTTTATTTACGAGGTTCTAATTATATACCATAGATCGTCAAACTTGTAGTTTTTTACACCACCAATTACACCAAATTATTTATTAATGCACTTATTTTAATTTATGTATGTTCATATGTAAGATAATATACCATCATCATTATGACATTTGGTTTTAATATATACCATCATTTATACCAAGCTATGTACCAGTTGTAACAAGAGTAAACCAATTTTACAGTAAGTGAGTGTTAATTACTGTAGCGTCCAAACTAATATACTAACATTTATTACTTTTCAATTTATTGTTTTAGGTTGGTAAACTGCAAACATTTGTTTTACTAAATACACAATTATTATGATCCTTTATTTTTACCATATATTTGTTCTTATTTACCATAAATTTTACCAAGAATTTGACTTATATTTTTTATCAATATTTCTGGATATGTGACAACACGTAATCCAAAAGAGTTTATGATATCTACTATATACAACCATTTATAACAACTATGTATTCAAAAATATGAATAAGATAACAAAAAGTAATCAACTTTGAAATAAGGTAATGCAATTAAAAAATAGTACATCTAATAAAAGTAATATAGTTCAACTGTATAACTGCAAAGTAAAAATAACAACAAAAATATCACAAAGCTAATTATCATGAGTTTTTTTTGGGCAAGTCTTCTTGTTATGCCCAACTATACCATATTCACTACATGTTACTTTCCTCTTCTTCCCCTCTCCTTCAGTGAATCCCTTTTTGCGATCATTTTTTGGAGGTCTGCCTGGTTGTTTTCTTGTAATTGGTGGTAATACTACCTCTTCCAAGACATGTGATGGAACATCCCAAGTGCTTTCGCAAGGCAAGGGTTCAATTAGTATTGCATATGTATCTTGATAATTCTTATTACTATAATAAGCTGAATAATAATCATCGCGATGTTTATTCCTATGTCTGATTGCTGCAAGTGCATGACTTCAAGGGATCTCATCATGTTGAAATCTGCCACAACTACACATTCGTGTATTCAGACATACTGTAAACCTCTTTGCACCATCTGTAATGGTATGAGGGAGTATTGTTGATGCGCGTACCTTCATTTAAGAGCATTCATTATCAATAATAAAACCAAAACATAATATGCACAGTAGAGAATTATTAATACTTACAAGCATACGATGAGACAAATTTCTATTGTCCTCCAACATTTCATTGTATTTACTTGTCAAGGTTGTTGTAATATTTCTACCTTCTTCGTTGTGTTTCTCATTCCAAGCTTCAATTGTTTTTCTAACAAATTCCAACAATGGTACCACTGGTAACCTTCTTCCAACAAGAATAGTGTTATTTAGTGACTCTGCAATGTTACTTGTTAGTGTCCAAGTCCTTTTTACTGGTGAATGTACGCGTGACCATTTCTCATAGTTTGCTTTTTGTAGATAAGCACGGTATTTTGGATTAATTTGATCCATCATTTTCATCAATTCATCAAACTCTTGAACAGTGTAAGCTTTTGCTAAACTGAAGAATAATGTTCTAACCTCTTCTGTATCTCTGTATGTTTTCTTTAGTAAATTGGTCCATAGATGATATATGCATGCGTAATATCTGAATTCGGGATAAACAACTGCAGTAGCATTCCAAATGCTCTTATTTCTATCAGAAACAAAGCACATATCTTCCCTTTCACTGAATGCATTTTTAAAATTCTCAAAGAACTATAACCATGAATCATCATTTTCTGAATCAACTATTCTGTATGCAAGCGGCAAGATGTGACCTATACAACAAATATCTTCAAAATAAATACAACATATATTGATTATATATAAAACAAATCAATCTAGTTGCGGTAATGGTATAAACAGTACCTCCTGGATCTAATGTGCTAGCTATTAACATTGTGCCTTCGTATGTTGATTTTAAATGTGTACCATCCACGACTACTATTGGTCGACAATACTCCCAGCCTCTTATACTTGCATCAAGTGTTGTAAATGAATATAAAAAATTATTTTCATCTGTTTTTTTATAATTCACAATTGTCCCTGGATATGTCTTCTCCAATATATATAGATATGTTGGAATTTTTCCATATGATTCGGCAGGGTCACCTCTTAATGTCTCGAAAGCTTTTTTTTTACCTCTCCATGCTTGCATGTATGTTAATGAAATACCATGTATCCTTAGCATGTCTGTTTGTATGTCTGTTGGTGTGTAAACGGTCTTCAGATCGACATACTTTTCAACCAACATTGCCCCAAGCACACCACTTGTTGATTGTCGCTTTGATTGAATCCGGTCCTTCAATGGACAAGAATGTGTATCATAGAATTTCTTCACTTTGAATAACTTTGAATTATTCAAACATGAGGATTTAAAAACCCATGAACAGTTTTCTGTAGCACACTTTAGATAGTAACTACAAAAACTCATGCATATTAATACATGGTAAGTTGTTAAAATATATTGATAATTTTTAAAATCAACATATATAACAACTCACCAGGTAGGACTTGATCTTTTTGCAACGAAACAAAACTCTCTTAGAAATGCATATCGCTTCATAACTTCCGATATAGTTTGCTTGTTTATATAAACTTGATCCTCGGCCACCAAATAGTGTTGAGGATTTGAAATTATTTCAGTTCCTTATGATTCTTCAATGTAACATTCCAAAATTGGATCCATGTTAGTCAAACATAGTGTGTTGGATTCCATAATATGTTGACGTGTTGTTTGGACATTTGTTTGGTACTCAATAGATTCCATAGCTATGTCCACACATGTCACACATAAAGGATATTTTGAAAAGAAATCTGAATTGCATCTCTTTTGATCTAAATAAACTTGCACTCCCGTATCGTTATGTATCTTCATTGGTGGAGATGGACCACTCACGAAATACCTTAGTTCCAAATGATAAATTGTTGTGTCCACTCCCAATTGTGAAGATATAGTTGTAAGCAAGCCTTCGTATTTGGTGGTTGGATCATACATAACTCCTTCAATATTGTAATTCACGTAATTGCATGTTTAAAATAACAAATTCTTTGTTAATATTAAAAGGAACTTTCAGAATTACCTACTACAGTCATCAACTTATTTAGATTTGTTTATACATTGATTTTCGTTGGTATATAAGCCATTTATTGAAATACCAAAGTATTTACCAAAATTTTAACCATTTAATTATCTTAAAAAAACAATCAAAGAAATACCAAAGTATTTACCAATATTTTAACCATATAATAAACGTAAAAAAAAACAGTCAAAGATTACATACCCTTAAACCAATTTTTAAAATTTATGATTTTATCAGGTTACCATCAGTAAATGTACGAACTATTTTGCACATTATTATTAACACCAATTCACGTACTTAAAATTCACTAAAATATGTACCATAACTTTATTACGAGGTTCTAATTATATACCATAGATCGTCAAACTTGTAGTTTTTGACACCACCAATTACACCAAATTATTTATAACTACACTCACTTTAATATACGTTCATAAGTAAGATACTATAATTTGACCAAACAATACACCAAATCATGCATCAGGCTATTTGTTTGGTGTCAGCTATTAGTGACAATTATACCAGATCAAATACCTAAACAAATACAGAAATACATATTGAAAACTTATTGATATAAAATATTTGCTACCATACGGAACACATCATACCAATTAAACATAAACTTTAACAAAAAACAAATTTTACACATCAGTGTACAACAAAATCATACGAAATTGTTGAAATTACACCAAAATTTGGACGATCCCGAACATCAACCAAATTGTATGAATTAATTTACACCAAAATTGACAAAATATATAAAACGAATAACTACCAAAAAGTACAAAATAGATATTTGTGAAAAATCAAATTCAACCACAAAATAAAAAATCATGAGAATTATTTTTTATATAATTACATGCTTAGTCTCATCGCCCGTTGTGTTGAATTAGAATTGAGAAATTATTGGTATGCATTTTTTTCAATAATCATTCTTTGTTTGGCCGATTTTTTAAGTCAGAGAAAGGAGTTATGTCTTTGGTAGGAAACCTCTATTTATGGGAGATAATATATAGCATATTTGAATAAATTAGGGAAGGTAAAATTATTGGAGAAATTTATGGGAAGTGGGATAAGCATGGCTTTTTTGGAATTTTTTTTTTTTTTTTAATTTAAATTCTATAATTGAAAAAAAAAGTATTGCTATGTTGGTGTAAATACAATTGTTAATTTGTATACTTAAAAAATCCGCCCTCCTAATAATGCAAAGAAAATATAAGTGAAAATTAGAAGGAGATGAAGAAAATATTTAAGGACAAAAAATTGTGTATCTGAGCAAGAATTGATGCAATAAACTAAAAATTAAGCAAGTAATTGTTCGAATCAAGAATAAGATTATAGTCCTAATAATGCAAAGAAAAGATAGGTAAAAATTAGAAGGAGATGAAGAAAACATATAAGGACAAAATTTTGTGTATCTGAGCAAGAAATAATGGAAATGGGTAAAAAATGGTTTCTAGTTTTTACTAATTTTAATGTTGTGTAGGCGTGATTGTATAATTATTGTCCAGGTGAAATTACAAATTACAACTGCAAACTAAAATGAAGAAAATAAGATCTCTTCTGGTTTAAGCGTGAATATCTTGCTCTCTTTAAGGTGATTCAAGTCTATTGCAATAAAATTTATGCGGATCCAACAATAATCTTCTTGGTTTGTCTCCTCCAAGATACAACAAATTATTCACAATGTATAACTCAACAAATTATGGAGGGTAGTGTGTACGCAAACCTTATGCATGTCTTGTGAAGGTAAAGAGGTGATTTCCGATGGATCCTCTTGCTCAAGTAAAGCATATCAAAGCATGTTTGGAAAGGAAATACAGTAGGGAGACGCACGGACGAGGGCCGAAGCATCTCGACTGTGTGGCTCCCCTGATGTAGTAAAAGAAATACAATAATGAATGTCACTATGCCTAAAATAATAGTCAAACTCATCGGTGGCCCCTTAAAGCTGTCACTAAGTTTCATTTAAACACATCAACTGATCAATGTTCATTTTAGACACCTCATGTAGAATTTCGCTATGTCATTTTGATACTTTTTTTTACAATAAGCAAAAAACTGAAGGAGAGTGTAATACATTTGTTGATGAAGTGGCAATCCACCAATTAAATGATTACATGTGTTCTCTAAAAATACATTATAAGAAAAAAACTAATTTTCAGCCAAATATAATAAATAAAAATAAATACCTATTTTCTAAAATCCTACCCAACCTACCCCACGCCTCCACCTTCGTCCTTTCTTCCCAAAACATTCCTAGCGGCAGCGCGTCCCCTGAACCTCCAATTTCTTTTTCATTTTGGAGTTTTCATTAGATCTTGATTTTGATTTATTCTATTTTTGCCGTAGATTCAATTTGTTGTTGTCAATTTCGTGCTTTTAAGTAGAGGGAGCACAAATTATGTGTTATATAGTCTCTTTCGTTTTGGATGAACATCGCCTTATTATTACTTTTAGCTTCAAAATTGTTGGAAGTGATGAGTCTACAACGATGCGTAGCTGAAATGTATGACCCTTCATCAATCACCATCTCACTTTTCGACAAATAAGGTCATAATAATTATTATTCTTAGATCAAAAGAAAAAGAAAGGAGAAGAAGATGATGGGTACAATTTTCAAATCTCAAATCTTAAAAAATAAGAATTAAAAGTTATTTCGATTGTAATAAAATGGAGAAGAAAAAGAAGAGAAAATAAAACTAAAAATGGCTAAATAAAGCCTTTCACACGCTACTATGGAGTGTATCACGCTCACTTTGTCATGTTAGTAAAAAGTGTCAAAATGATACAAGGGTCTGACATAAGCTCTCTAAAATGAACAAAGGCTAGTTAGAATGTCTAAGTGAAAATTGATATTAACTTTAAGGGGTCATTGATGAATTTGGCCTAAAATAATAGAGAAGATAATGGGATCAACAACAAGTAATACAATAATTGAAATCAAGGAGACAACAAGTAAAATTAAATCAAAGAATAAGATATTAGAGAGTAAAAATACTAACATTTATAAGGAAACTAGACAACACTTGACTACCTACTAACCCTCTACTCTAATCCTCGACTTACATATTTTTTTATCTAGGGTCGTGTCTTTGGTAAGTTATAGGTGTGTCATGCCTTTATTACAGTGAGAAATAACTGGTTTTCAAAAATCAATTTAACTTTAATAGAAAAATTGATTTTAAAAGAAGTCGTCACTTGATTTTTTAAAAGAAATTAAGAAAACTTAATTTTAAAGACTTTAACAGAATTAAGTCTAAAAAAATCAAAGTAAAAGGTTTGAGGTTCTCATTACACTTCAAAAAAGGGTTTGAGACATTTGAAGTATCCGCTAACACACAGTTATCCTATAATTTTTTTGACTAATTTAGAAATTTTTAAAGGAATTAAACACTTGAAATGATTTTGAAAAGAAAGTTCAAATAAAATGATTAAGTGTGACAACTAAGTAAGTAAAATCACTTAAAAGATTAACACAAAAGGTTCCTCGTTAAGGGGATTTAATTAAATTTAAACCACACAAACAAAATTAGTTGAACAAGAAACAATCAAATACAATAATAAAGGGAAAAGAAAATCATAAACTTG